GGGATGCGCGGACAACCATGCACAGGCCAAGGCACAACGCGGTCGAAAGAGTCGGGGTTAAATCCATGGCTTTGGTCAATAGATGTTCATCCCACATAATATGTCTGACCCATCCACATGTGCCGTGGTTGTGACTGCAGGTGGGCCAAGACCCTGGTAGGAATGTGAAAACACCAAGCTAGCGAGCGAAAACTAGTCAATGGATGGAAAAAGGTAGTAAAAGGATGCAAATGGATGTTCATCAGATTGCAATGCCTCACACATCTCCTTGGGCAGAAAAACACTTCCATGGTGACCATGGTCACAATCGCCAGGACACAAATTTACGTTGCAGTGGGCGATTGAGGCACGGAACCGACCAAAATCCTTTAGACTTGAACGGTATCGTACCATAGTGCGGCTTGAAAGCATGACAAACTCCCAAAAGTGCATCAAAGCGCACGCCCCAATTCCTTTTCGTTTTGCAACTCGTGCATATAGTTTTCAATCATTTTGGATTCACACATCTCGCAAGACTGGAATCGGCTTCTAATTTTCCAAGTCTATTTGCTTGCCAGATCCAAAGCATAGGCGTGAAATGTTGTACCCCAAAGCAGATCACAGGTGTGAAGATTCGGAGATTTTGGCCCAGCTGGTCATTAAGTTTCATTCATGAACCGCCAAGTTTTGGGGGTGTTTTTCAGTTTGATTTCGTCCGCACAACGTCATCACCTTCTCCAAGCATTGTCTCAGCGAGGCGGACCCCAACCATTGGCACTTGGTTTCGCCCCCTCGATTCCAGAGGCTTATAAAAGATTATAAAAACATTTTTCTGAAGTAAATGAAATGTTTGGATAGCTTTTGGGGTAACGAGTATACCCACTTTGGACAAACCCCAAATCATGGAGAACTCCTGTGGCGCGGCCAGGTCAGCCAGTGCAAAGCCTGTTTCAGGCCATATGGCGCGGGAAGCCTCATGAACTCATGCAGGGACCTCGAAGATCCGCTGCATCGGACGATTTACAAGAAAACAAACGCTCTGAAGAGATCCAGGGAAGGTTTCTAATGGTTTTGGATAAGGCATAGTCATATCGTCAATTCATTTGAGTCTGTTTCATTCCCTTTCCAAAAGCGCTAACTCCACATTTGTTTCCGGGCTGCGGGTTTGGAAATTAGGGGCAGTTCCTTGCAAGGAGGGTGCGCAAGCTGTAGTGTGTACAGCGCAGGGCTGTGGGTTGGGGTAAATTCTGCAATCAGCTTGAATCATGAAATGGGCGAGAGATTCTTTCATTGCCATGTAACAGATACATTCGATGATATAGTATAGAGATGTTTCAACATTTCGGAACCCCCCAGACGCATCCCAAATCCATAAATAAATATATATATATATATGTATAAATAAATATATATATATATAAATATGCATATATATATACATATATATATATATATATGAGAGCAAACAAGTGCGACTGGCAGAGATTCTGCAACGACGTATACGATATCTTTTTGGTCGAGATAATTTGTGTTTCTGTAGATTCCCGTGAGCTGCTGGCCGTTACCGTTTGCCAAGTTGCTGGGTCCCTTTAGATTTGTATTCCACCGCAGTCAGCATATGCATCAAAATTTCCATCGGACAGAGTCGGACAGGGGATCGGTCATGACACACGCTGTATCACAGCTGAGGTGAACATTGCAGATACTTGATCTGCAACCCTTGCTATGTGAAGGCAAAACAATGGGGCACTTTTGGCAGGTCGCAAACGCCAAATGGGATTTACGCCAATAGGGCACGCCCGATGATTCAAGTCTACCAGTGGAGTAAGAAAACAATCTTTTGATTGATACCGGATACCTTACTGTTGGCCAGCAGATGTCATCGCAAGATTGGAACTCTCCAGAAGAGCATGTCAAAGTTCTGCCTTGAAAGTCAAAGTGTCAATGTTTTTTCGCAAAAGATCCAGCACCACCCGACGTTTCACATCGAAGAATATGACCCATGCGCTTCCAAGGTGTTTAATCCAAGGTGTTACACATGGCAAGTTGATCCGATCCAAAATGGGTGGAATTCCATGGCCCTCCAGGCACTTCAGGCGGCCCAGGCGGCCCGGGCGCCCAAGCCGACCCATCCGGCCAAGGCGGCCCAGGCGGCCCAGGTGGCCCAGGTGGCCCAGGTGGCCCAGGTGGCCCAGGTGGCCCAGGTGGCCAAGCAGGCGCAGACGGCTGACTTTTGTGGCTTCTGTGGCTTTGGGATTCCTGGCTTTTGTGAGTTGTGCTTCTCGTTGGCTTTTGTTGCTTTTGCTTCTTGGCTTTTCGGTTCTTGGCACTATGCTGCAATTAGTGTGCAGACAAAGAGTATAATATGAGATAATATGAGTATAACTTATACAGTATAACTATAACATCAATTATAAAGAATAAAAGGACAACAACAATGTTTTATAAGACAGTTGTGCGTGTTTTTTTTCTGGTTTTTGTGGCTTTTGTCTTCTTGGCTCCTTATTTTTTTCGTTTGGCTTTTTGTTTTTTTTGCTTTTGTGGTTTCTTGCCAGCATGCTATTTTTTTTCCCTGAATACGTACTATACTCTACAACCTCTCATATACATATATATATATATATACACAGTATGTATACTGTATAGATACATATCCCACTTATGTACTGTACAGAAAGATAAGCCAGAAACCAATGATTTGCTGCTTCAGTCTAAGTGAGCAGGTTCTGGACGTCCAAGTGGACTCAGTTCAGTAAAGCGCGATGAAAAGGAATTGCAAGGGATGACATTAAATAAAGGCGAACCAAAAGGAAAACAAAACAAATATGAATGTTACTGTGTTTGGATTTTTGTTTACGAAAGTCTCAAATCTCCAGTGAATGCTCTTAGAGACAAGAAACGCAACATTTGAATTCTAGGTTGTAGTTGAACGTGGACCCAGCTATTGGAAAGTGGTAGTGATGCTATCAATCGATTTTGGCCAGGTGAGCAACCAAATGATGACCACTTGCCACCAAGGCAAGACTTCGGAGCTCAGTCGAGAGACCAAACTCAATAGTAATAAAGTAATAAACGTATATGTCTATATGAGTCTATATTTTGTATACATATAGGGCCTTAATATATAGGGTATGCACGTATGTGCATATTTGCTTCAAAGTTTTGGACTTGCGATGCCATGCGGAGATCTCAAGTAGGATCTAAAGAATTGTAGAAGAATCCTTGCCAGCAGACTGGGGTGAATTTTTATATTTTCTTTGATGTTTTGACTAGTTTTGACCTGTAGAGGTTCCTGCATTGGAATTGCGAAGCCAGGCCCACCTGCAGGAAGCAGTTCGCTGGGAGGTTTTTTGACCGTGAATTCCGTGATGCAGTCACTCACTTAACCTTGAACTATCCATTTGTCCGTCCTTACATCCTATCCCAAGTTCCATGTTAATAGTTTCTCTTTTTGTGCATGTGTCAAACAGATAGCAATGGTATGTGCATTTCCATAATGCGAATATTTATAGATTTATCATGATCTATTTATACATACCATTACACACAGATAGTATTTGGACCAGCAGAACCTTTGCGTGTCCAATTATGTACCCTTCACTGTCAGGTGGATTCAACTCAGCCCAGCGCAGCTGGTTGCCGCCTGTGGGAGGTCGGGATGGGCTGTGTTTGATTCCATTTTTTTGGTTCTACAGAAATCCATATTTCATAGCAGGATTCTTGAAAGGCAACTGTTGCAAGTTTGTTTCTAAGAAGGCTAGTGAGGTCGATGAACTTGTGAGATCCTTCACCGACGTCGGGCATCAGCAAGTTCCCAGGTGTCGTCCAGAATAGCTGGCTAGCACCCCCTGCAGGAGACTGGGACGGGCTGCTTAAAATCATGGGCTCTTGCCCAATTCTTGGGTCTAGGAATTCTCCTTTTCAAGACTGCTGTGGCCACTTGTTGACTGGGGCCAAATCCATCTTATATCATCTTAGTCTTTTCAAGCCCATGAATGTCCCCCCAGCCAATGGACTAGTGACTAGTTCGAAGATGGGTGCCGCCGCTGAAAGCCGCTTTGAGGCTTGGGTTTGTCCCATGAGCTCGAATTGGCATTTTATGTGTGAGTGACACCTTCGCATTTGGATGGTAAAACCGGGGGTTCCGGTCGAGAGTTTCCCTTCACCTCCAATCCCTTCAATCCACTGACCATCAGTGACCTGGGAAAGGCCTGGCAAATCTGCTGCTGGGCCCGGCAGATTTCAAATTCTATGCAGAGCCTCCAGAGCCAAGGTGGGGTGATGTGGCCGCATTGTTTGAGATTTGTTGAGTGTGTACCCCCCCTCCATAGGGGTTTGTCCAAAAAATGTGGATTTACCCCAATTTTTTTTTTCAATTGTTCTTGTCGGGAAAACTAGTTCTAAACCATGGTGTGGACTGCGTGAGCCTGTTTATCAGACGAGCCCGAAAAGCCCGAAATAAAGAGGTCGTCTTGGGCCACCAACAAAGCCTGTCAGGCCGTATCCGTGTGCTGCCACCACATCCCCTGCGACGAAGCCTTCCCACGACATGTCGCAGGATCGGGTCTCCGTGCCAGTGCATGATCAGTTACGAGTTACGACAGTAAAATAGTCAAGAAAAAAACGGCAGACAAGCAGAAAATACCAACATTCTTATCTACGTGTATCAGCAAGTTTATTTTTTCCTGTCTTTCGGTCTGTTTGCCTGACGTGGACCCAGCTATTGGAAAGTGGTAGTGATGCTATCAATCGATTTTGGCCAGGTGAGCAACCAAATGATGACCACTTGCCACCAAGGCAGGACTTCGGAGCTCAGTCGAGACCAAACTCATTAGTAATAAAAGTATATGTCTATATGAGTCTACATTTCGTATACATATAGGGCCTTAATATAGGTTATGCACGTATGTGCGTATTTGCTTCAAAGTTTTGGACTTGCGATGCCATGCGGACATCTCAAGTAGGATCTAAAGAATTGTAGAAGAATCCTTGCCAGCAGACTGGGGTGAATTTTTATATTTTCTTTGATGTTTTGACTAGTTTTGACCTGTAGAGGTTCCTGCATTGGAATCGCGAAGCCAGGCCCACCTGCAGGAAGCAGTTCGCTGGGAGGTTTTTTGACCGTGAATTCGGTGATGCAGTCACTCACTTAACCTTGAACTATCCATTTGTCCATGATTACATCCTATCCCAAGTTCCATGTTAATAGTTTCTCTTTTTGTGCATGTGTCAAACAGATAGCAATGGTATGTGCATTTCCATAATGCGAATATTTATAGATTTATCATGATCTATTTATACATACCATTACACACAGATAGTATTTGGACCAGCAGAACCTTTGCGTGTCCAATTATGTACCCTTCACTGTCAGGTGGATTCAACTCAGCCCAGCGCAGCTGGTTGCCGCCTGTGGGAGGTCGGGATGGGCTGTGTTTGATTCCATTTTTTGGTTCTACAGAAATCCATATTTCATAGCAGGATTCTTGAAAGGCAACTGTTGCAAGTTTGTTTCTAAGAAGGCTAGTGAGGTCGATGAACTTGTGAGATCCTTCACCGACGTCGGGCATCAGCAAGTTCCCAGGTGTCGTCCAGAATAGCTGGCTAGCACCCCCTGCAGGAGACTGGGACGGGCTGCTTAAAATCATGGGCTCTTGCCCAATTCTTGGGTCTAGGAATTCTCCTTTTCAAGACTGCTGTGGCCACTTGTTGACTGGGGCCAAATCCATCTTATATCATCTTAGTCTTTTCAAGCCCATGAATGTCCCCCCAGCCAATGGACTAGTGACTAGTTCGAAGATGGGTGCCGCCGCTGAAAGCCGCTTTGAGGCTTGGGTTTGTCCCATGAGCTCGAATTGGCATTTTATGTGTGAGTGACACCTTCGCATTTGGATGGTAAAACCGGGGGTTCCGGTCGAGAGTTTCCCTTCACCTCCAATCCCTTCAATCCACTGACCATCAGTGACCTGGGAAAGGCCTGGCAAATCTGCTGCTGGGCCCGGCAGATTTCAAATTCTATGCAGAGCCTCCAGAGCCAAGGTGGGGTGATGTGGCCGCATTGTTTGAGATTTGTTGAGTGTGTACCCCCCCTCCATAGGGGTTTGTCCAAAAAATGTGGATTTACCCCAATTTTTTTTTTCAATTGTTCTTGTCGGGAAAACTAGTTCTAAACCATGGTGTGGACTGCGTGAGCCTGTTTATCAGACGAGCCCGAAAAGCCCGAAATAAAGAGGTCGTCTTGGGCCACCAACAAAGCCTGTCAGGCCGTATCCGTGTGCTGCCACCACATCCCCTGCGACGAAGCCTTCCCACGACATGTCGCAGGATCGGGTCTCCGTGCCAGTGCATGATCAATTATGTGACAATTTGTTTCGACAGCAAAATGGCCAAGACAAAACGTCAGACAAACAAAAACCAACAGCATGTTTATGTATGTAAATCAGCTAATTAATTTATATGTATTTATCATCCATCTAATCCATGTGTTATTCTTATTTCTTCACGTTTTCCTTTATGCCTCTCTCTCTCTCTCTTAGTATGCGAACATTAATGAATTATTTACACTGCACCACATATATATATACACACCATCATATATATATACATATAATATCATATTATATATATATATATTGTAAAACATATAATAGTATTTAATATAGAATATATAATTGAGAATTTATAATATATAATAGATAATTTATAACATGTAATATTTAATATGTATTATGTAATTCTATTTAACATCATATATATATAATATACAATATACAATATACATAATATATACTGTATAATGTATAATGTGTAATGTATAATGTATAATGTATCACATATAATATTTAATATAGTGTGTATATATGTATATATATACACATATTATAGAATATATATAATATATATATGAAATATTTAAAATATTTCATTTTTACTTTGTAATATAATATATATATATAATATATTATGATTGATATGAAATATATATATGATATATGATATATGATATATAGCATATAATATTTGATATATATATATTGTATTCAATATGTAATATATAATATATAATAAATAACATATAATATATATAATATATAATATATAATGTACAATATAATACATATAATATAAAATATAAAATATAATGTATATGATATATAATATTTAATCTACAATAGAACATATATGATATAGAATATGTAATAGAGAATTTATAATATATATATAATGTGTAATACGTAATATATAACATATAACATATAATATACAAAATTCAATATATAATACATAATATATACTGCATAATGTATAATGTATAATGCACAATGCATAATGTATTATATATAATATAATACAATAATATGACTTGATATGATATGATATGATATAATATAATATGTATATATATATATAATAAGATAATATATATATATATATATTATAATATAATATATAATATATATATATATTATAATATAATGTATATATATATTATAATATAATATATATATTATATATATTTAAAAAAAACACATATTTATTTAATAATATATATATATAATAGTATATATATATATTATAATTTTTAAATATATATTATAATATATACATAATGTTATATTATATCTACTATATATATATATGTATAGATATAATATTTAGATAAAATACACATTGTATATATATATATACAAATAGTGTAGACGTGCCAGTCTCGCCATCGTCAGTGTGGCTTCCACGTCCCAGCCTCCACCTGTTGAGGCCTATCCGGTCTCAAAGCAGCCGATGGCCATGACGCTGGAAGAGCATGGTGCCCAGAGTGCCTGTGAATGACTGAGGCTGAGGCTGCCGTACTTCTCCTGGACTTACACAACCATCCTAAATTAGTGTTTACCTCAAGGATAGCAAGGGTATGGTAGAGCATATCCCAAGGTACATGTGTTTGGAGTGATACTTGATTTTGATGCAATGTCAACACAGATTCGATCAACCAACACATTAATTCAAGAACGCAGCAGCCCTTGCTGGTCATCACATCTATGTCATGGATTTTCATGGTATTTTCCATCAAACAGAATTTGAACGCAATTGAGGCATACCGCCCTGGCTCAAAACAAGGACCGCGGGCATCTTGCCTTGGGACTGCGGCTAACGGCTAAATCCAAAGGAGAGTAGATTCTCAAGGTACGTCAAGGTGTTTTTGAAAAGTTGTTTTGCAGCGGGCTGTTGACCTCATTGAGTGGACGCAGTGTCATGTCTTTCTGAGTTCATCCCTCAAACCAAAACGTTTTTGGCATGTCACTGACTCCAATGAAAGACTGAGGGCGTTCACCTTCACCAATTTCAACATATTCTTGGTGTTAGTAGGCACAATGACCGCAATGATATCTTGATGTCGTCACGTGGCAGGAGTGTGCAGACTGTGGAGCACCGGCGCCCGAATGGTGCGCAGACCGCATGGGAGGGCCCTGAAAGGCAAGCAAGGTCTATGACAATTCAATAGGGCAAAAGATGGTCAACCACTAGGTTCTAGCGGTAATTAATTTTTGTGCAAAGCAATTTCCTCCAGGTATTTTCTTTGGATGAAAGCCACGAAGCTGGTCCGATACCTCGAATCCACTGAGCAGATCATCCATCAATCCCATCACCCCTCTTCAACCCTGGATTCGCAAAGCCATAAGGAATTGGTTGATGAGAAGTTGCCATTTGGATTGGAATTCAGGCTATGACACCATCCTTTTCATTCGAGCGATCCTGGAATCCTGTGCGCCAGGGCTTCGGTGAACCAGGGCGTATTGATTTGCATCGAATGTGCACCTCAGATGACCTTGGGCTGGGTCCAACGGTGATCTGGACATGCGGTTGGATAAGAAGCCGGACACAACTTCAGTTATCCAACTGGGTCCGCCATACTTGAGTATCTTTGTATATGTATATATGTTATATACATATATATGTATATACATAATACATTATGTACATGTATATTATATGTATATGTATATCATATATATGCAAAAATAATAGTTAAATATTATCTCATGTATACACACATACATACGTATGTACGTACATATATTACATTATTTTACATTACATTGCATTTACATTTACATTTACATTACATCACGTTACATTAGATTACATAGATATATATACATTATGTGCATTTATTTGTTATGTGTATGTATGTATGTATGTAATGTAATGTAATGTAATGTAATGTAATGTAATGTAATGTATGTATGTATGTATGTAATGTAATGTTATGTAATGTAATGTAATGTAATGTAATGGTATGTATGTATGTATGTATGTATGTATGTATGTAATTAATGTATGTATGTATGTATGTATGTATGTATGTATGTATGTATGTATGTATGTATATAATATACATAATATATATATATGCAGAGTAGAATGTGTGTGTGTGTGACTGTGTGTATCACGGGATGGGCGCTAACATCTATGAACAATCCAGTTTCAGGTCACTTTTGTGCCGTACCCTTTTTAGTATCCAGTCCCAAACGTTTGGAAACGATTAAATTATGAATATCTTTCAATGACTACGAAAGTTCCATGAGGTTGCACAGGATGAGGATTCACTGGCAGTGGCAGACCGTGAAGCCTGTGCTTTGGTACATTTCCGTTTCCTGTTTGGGGGGGGGCCCTGTCTCCGCACGGAAGAAGTATCCAACCAAGGCGGGATGCCATCGATCGTTGGGTGCACATATCTCAAAGGTGAAATCGGTGATGTTTGGAGCTCAGATGTACAGGCAAGGGTGCCCAGACTACGGGCAGTTTGCGCAGCGGAAAGTGATAGGTTGCTCTCAAGGCGTTGCGTGGTTGTCGTTACTCTATGGTACGTGGGTGCTGCTGTTTCTTGGGCAAAGCAGAGTTATTTCTGTTTTCTCTACAACTGATCCACCATTGTGAGGTTGGATTCCTGGAAACCAGAGGAAGTGCAAAGTTTTATTTCCAAAGGTGGCAATAAGAAGGCGGGTCGCCCGTGTTTCGCTAATGGTCACGTCAGAATTTGTTGAACGACGTTAAAACAAGTTTGAAAGCATCATCATCATCAACAACAACAACAACAACAACATCACCAACAACAACCAACAACAACAACAACAACAACAACAGCAATAACAACAACAGCAACAGCAACAACAACAACAACAACAACAACAACAACAACAACAACAACAACAACCACAACCACAACCACAACCACAACCACAACCACAACCACAACACAACGACAACGACAACGACAACGACAACGACAACGACAACGACAACGACAACGACAACCCCACCACCACCACCACCACCACCAACCACCACCACCACCAACACCACAACACCACCACCAGCTCACAGACAAACCACCACCACCCCAAACAACAGCCACCACCCACCACCGAACACCACCACCACGACCCACCCCCACCACCCACCACCCACCAGCCGAACGACCCACCACCCACCACCCGAGTCCACCCACACCCACCACCACCACCCACGAACCCACCACCACCACCCACCCCCACCACACCAACACCAACACCAACCACAACCACAACCACAACCACCAACCACCAACCACCAACCACCAACCACCAACCACCAACCACCAACCACCAACCACCAACCAACAACAACAACCACAACCAACCCACCAACCACCAACCACCAACCACCAACCACCAACCACCAACCACCAACCACCAACCACCAACCACCAACCACCAACCACCAACCAACAACCAACAACCAACAACCAACAACCAACAACCAACAACCAACAACAACAACAACAACAACAACAACACCAACAACAAACCACCAACAACAACAACAACAGCAACAACAGCAACAACAGCAACAACAACAACAACAACCATCACCATCAACATCATCATCATCATCATCATGATGATGATCATCATCATCATCACCATCATCATCATCATCATCATCATCATGATCATGATGACGACTACAATAATAATCACAATCATAGTCACAAACATAGCCACCATGATCACCACCACGAGTACGAAAAACGAGCTGATGTGGGTCAAATTTTAAGGCCTAGGGAACTGGCCATCTTGCGGTAGAGCATCCCACTAAATTGGAGAACCCAACTTTGGACTCCTTTCGATCGCTTGAAGCTCCCCAATTTTGGTTGCTCAAACCCTTCTTGCTATTGAAAAACTCCTCAGCTTTGGCTCAGCCCATGTTTGATGGACATTTCGTTTTTTTTTACACCCAAAAATGTATATAAATGGTCAGAATCTGTCAAGTGGACAGGAAAGCGAATCTTTGGATGGTGCAAACGTGACCTTCCCAAGCCAGTGCTTATTCACATACAGGAGCAGGTCCTAGGTTAAAACCTTTGATCCACGAATCCTTGTTTCATAGTCAACAACAGGGCACCAGGGCTTTGACCGATAGCCAAACATGACTTGGCAGATGTCCAGCAGATGTCCAGGTTAACGACGACATCGCTCGGAACGGAGGGCCATCGCCCCCAGCGAGGGGGACTCTGCGTGCTGAGATCGACAGCTACATTTGCAGAAAGTGCGCGGCCAAACTTGGGGAGGATGAGCAGGGCAGGGCCAAAGGTAGGTGATGTTTGCAGATGTTTAGCACATGAAATTTGGATGTTTGAGATTTAAGCAAAAGTGTGGATTTCAAACAACAATCGTGATTTGGCCCAGAAAACTTGGGAAACAAATTTGGGACTTGACCACGAAACAGTCGAATTTGACCTGTAAGAAGTGGGATTCGAATTTGATCAGAAACAGATGGATGTCGATAGTCAATAGTCGTTAAGCATCCTGGGGCAGGCATCATGCTTGGCATATTGTCTCGGTTTTGTCTCTGTTGGGCCTCTCGTTTTTGGGAAGTTTATTCCCATGCTGATTAGGGATGACCTTAGCTGTTTTATTCAGAATTTCTCCAGAGGTCATTTCACTGATCATCAGTACATTTGCAGGTCACCTGACTCCAGACGGCCTGCCGGAGGTACAAAGGAGAGAAGGCTGCCGATGACAAGAGGCGCACTTTTTTGGGACGAAGTGATGGCTTGCCGATCACTTTGCTGCGGATGCAATGAATTCTAACTGGGCAAAGAATCCTACCCAACATGTTACCCTTTGTTACGAGAACCGGGCACAAAGATGGTACTTTGGGCCACAAACATTCTCTTCCAATCCGCTTGATCCCTTGCAGGGAGTTTCTCAGCCTTTAATAGCGACTTTCTTGGGTCCAGGTTTTTCCGCAGATCCCTGGCCCTGATGCAACAAAGGGAGCGGTCCTAATCCACTTCAGATCCACATCAAGAACATGTGTCCGGTAGGATCATTTCCCAGTGCGTCAACGTTTGCAGGTCAATTCCTTGCCCCCTGAAAGCCGGAAAGACTCCAGGGCTGGAGGTTGGCCCTGGGAGAGTTGTGAATGGGCCACACTAAGATTCTTCAGGATGGGCCATTTCACACCCCTGATATGACCCATTAACCAAATTGGGCCAACTGCTTTGAATCAACAGATTTGGGTCCATCTGGGCCAGCAACAATATTGCGATCTTTGAAGTTAGGTCCATGACGAAAGCTAGTTTCCGGCTGAAGTCCCTCTTGCTTTAGCAAGGTATTCATTGGCAGTGGCTGGAATCGGCTGGAATCGGCTGGAATCGCCAATCACGTGAAACTTCACAGTCAAGTGTCCCCTCTCCCCCATCCACCTTTTTTGGGAAGCATCAGTTTTGCCGTGGCTCAATTTTTTTCCTGGGACATCGTCGCCATATCGTCGCCAGATCGTCGCCACCAGCATTTTCAGCATCATTTCCCAATTCCTCACACACCGCTCTTTCACCCACCTTCCTCGTTCTCCCTTTACCTTCCCAGCTAGTTTTCGTCCCTTATGCATTGGCCCCAAGTACGTTTATGATTATATATATATAGATATTTATGTGTATATGTAATATAATTATACCGAGTTATTTCAAATAAGACCGAACCAACAGGAAAACACAACAAACATTACTGTTAGCATATGTTGGCTACTGTGTTTGGATTTATGTTTGCGAAAACTCGAATCTCCAGTGAATGCCCGGAAAGAATAGAAACTTAACATCTAAATCCTAGGTTGCGGTTGAACCTGGACCCAGCTGCTCTCCCATTTTCGCTGCTGATTTTGGCCAGGTCAGCAACGACATCGGTACGACTTGTCATCAAGGCAGGACTTTGGAGTCGTCGTTTTCCGCCTTTTTTGAATGGCTTTCGAATGGTGTTTCATCTCCATCAATCTCCCGTTGGACAAACTCAAATCATATTGTTGGTATTTGTTGGTCGTGCCCCGTTGTACGTCTCCATGAAATGGTGCATTTTTATACAGCATTTTCGTTGCAGGCCTTGTGATGGTAGACATTGACAGTGTTGATATTGGAGCCATCGCCTTGGACATCGGGAACCGCCTAGGCTAGACATTGGTGGTTCGAAGGCCCTGAAAGCATGTTTTTATTTAGGAACATGTCAAAAATAACAAAATACATTACTGTATATTATGCATTGTTGGAACTGCAAAGACAACGTTTGTTTTCAGATCCGGCATGTTTCATGAATTATGCTGTGAGATTGCACCCGCAGGAAGCATCTCGCTGTGATTTGCTGTGTCTGAAACTGTTTACGCCCAATGAATGTGTTAGTCACTGTCACTTTACCTTGACCTATCATGTGCTATCTATCCATTTGTACATCCTTACATCCTATCCCATCTGATAGCTAACTTGGTTGCATGTTAGTTCTTTTTTTTTCGGTCTTTCCATATGTCCGTCTATCTACGTCTAGGCCTTAAATTATTTAGACATGATGTGTCTCTGTACATATATTTTACACGTATTATATTATTATAATATCAAAATATTATATCAAAACAGTGATACACACATATAATTAATATACAATTATATACATGTAGATATAGATGTACATATGTACAACAATAGTTGAACATGCACAAGATCTTGACGGCTTGAGGTTGAACGTGCCAGAGACCTGCGAATGCTGGGGTGGGGCTGCCAGATCTTTTAGCGGCTGTTCGAGGTAAACGGATGGAATCTGTGTACGATGATCTTGCTTGATGGGATATCAAGAGAAATCAGGACAGAATGAGGAGAGAACAATTCTAGCAATTTTGTTTTTTTGGCTGAACATGGGGATGCCCCCAAATTGGCAATTATATAAATGGGCAAATGAGAACCACTGGATCGTGCGGTACTGTATTTTCAGACAACCCCATGTTGGCAGATGATGGGAATATGGATATCTCGTATCCAAAGATTGGGATAATGGGTCAGCAGTCAAAACTTATGTTTTTCCAATATTTATCCATGGATGACCACAACAAATTGCAGCTATCTTTTTGATGTGAACAGCAGAGCATCTGGGGTTCGATCCATAGCCATGATGAAACAGCTCAGCTGGATCCTTCAGGCCCCTCTTCCTAAATTTGTCGGTACAACTGAGCCTTGGGTGCGGAGACTCAGAATCGGCGAAATGGTGCACCAGCTTCCATTTGTTCCGCATGACCAAATGGGTGTGTTTGAGATGCTGGATCAACATGGATTACCGTTTAAAGAAGGGGTAGATGGCTTTTCAACCAATTGTTGCAGTTGCAAGAAAGCCGATACTCGTGCGATGATATCGTGCTTGACACATATCACATATCCAAACATTTAGTGACATTTAGTGGTACCCTCTGGTAATTTAACAGTTTGCTATTGAAAATCACCATGCTATTAATGGGTAAATCCACTATTTCTATGGTCATTTTCAATAGCTATGTTAAATTACATTTAGTGGTCATGTTCCTGTGTAGGACATGGTAAAACCGGTGGAAATCCTCCACAGACCTCGGTGGGATCGGCCTAAGGTCCCAGACCTGCGAGCCCACTTCACGTCGCCGGGGCGAGAAAACAGGTGTGGTCACGTAGCAATTTTCACTGTGAAACGCCAGGGGCCAATAGCAATGGGACGATTTTGGCAGATCAAGTTTTTTGAAAGCCAGGGGGACCTCTGATTTGGCGAATTCCTAGTACTAACATGTAGTAACTATCCATAACTGGTCCATAACTGGTCCATAACTATCCATAACTGTACCAAATTTGACCCATCCCCATCTTGTCAAAGCGGGGTTCACAGTCCGCAAAAAGTGTGACGCCGGAGAAGAGCAAACAAAGAACGATCATACTTTGCGGGCGGGATGGACTTGCACCCCGACAGCAAGTGTGTCAGGATGGACTCCATCAGAGAGGAGGCAAATGCTATGGGATGCGCAGGACTGCGAAGCCCAGCTTTTTGAGAGGTCCCCATACTATGTTGAATTGCTCAGCATTCTTTTGGGTGAAGTACCGTCGAAATGCTTGACGCCTGTCGGCAGTGCTGCTGGTATCTGCTGGTGGCTATGTAGGGCTATCAGCTCTTGAAACTAGCTCGTTGAGCGACCTTGCCAAGCAGTCTGAGTAATTATCCCCACAGCAGAGTTGGTAGCAGTGCTTCCTCCAGAAGTGTATACTGTACCTAGTTCTGGTCAATCAACACATTTCCCATGAAATGGCCATGTATTGGAGAAAATCCTCTGTTATCATGCACCCTCAACCCATGTCTCACCAGGAGCGCTACCTCTGGTGTAGAGTTTGGGACAGTGACTTCGGCTTCAAGCAACTTGCGGGTGAAGGCGGGCGATGATCATCCCAAATCAGTCATTGTTACAGGCGAAAAGAATGGTGGACATGGTGGTAAGGTTTGTAAGGGGCATGAGGGGTAAAGATAAACATTACCAATAGTCCAATCATGTACATACTGATGTTACTGTCCATATCTGCCACTTTCAATTTCAGGACGCATAGATCTGTTGAAGCTCTTGGAGAATGGCAGTGGAAGTGCCGGCCTTGACTTATTTGGTGAGGTGAACGCAGATCACGCATGAGTTTCAGTGCCGGAATGGGGTTGAGAGGATGTTGTTGAATACAGGTTGAATTTTTGTTGATTCAGGTTGACAGGTTGACTGGATCTGACACAAAACAAAAGCTGCACAGGATGACAGTTTGCAGTTTCTGTAAAGCAGAGCAACCGACCGCAAAAAACCATGTTAGTTCTGAATCTGGACATTCTGTACGAATCCCATGACCGGGCACGTTGACCCAGTGCATTTGGAATTCATGGACCATTCAATGCCATGCAAATACACAACGAACATAGCTATACCAAGTTGTATGACAAGTTCCAATTTCCCTTCGAGATGAGATCTGTTACAAAATTGGAACGAGTCAGGTGCTTGGCTGCTCAGTTGGATGTCATGCGAATCCTCTTTTCTCCCAACAGCTTTTTTCTTCCAACAGCTGTTATAGGGGGTCGTCCAACAAACCTCGCTCTGCTAAATCAAGCCAAATTCGGTGTTCCTTCAGGTTTCTGAAGGCTACCAGTTCATAGGGTGATTTGGGACTATATATATATATTTATATATATATATGGTGTGAATTCCTACATGCTCTAGGGTTACTGTGGGCGTTCTAGGTAATCTGGAATGATTGTTCATGCCATAACTTAACCCATAGATACACATATACCCCTGGACATATCATGTCCACAAATAGATAGCCGCAAACCTATGCTCATAAACTCATGTCATACCCATAAACATCCATAGATAGCCCTCACAAATACCCTGTACATGTGTCCATGAATCTCCATGAACCTTCCACCGAAAAAAAGGGGTTGCAGCAACAAAGTGGGAGTGATCCGCAATTGTTTGTAGACAACCACAAAGATACCCAGAAACATGGAAAACATGGATCCATTATGATCCATTGACGACAACTCATTTTAGCACACTTCCGAAAACACCATAGTTACTCAAACAATATGGATAAATTTCCATAGATTCAGGAATATCCTCCAGAAAAATTGGCTTTGAGGCGAAGGGATCGCAGAGACCGTGGAGGTGGAGCTCTTTGCCCCAGAGGCAGGGAGAATGGGGCCATTTGGAGTGGAAAGAAACACTTGAAGGGTTCAAAAGTGATAGGGTCTCAGATTGAACCATGAAGAAATGGGTATAGCATGGTATAGATCAAAATTTAAGAACCGCAAAACCAGAGATGCGGATCAAACATGGAGTTGCAGTCGCATGCTTTGTCCAGATTTTTTTGTATGTACGTATTTCACTGTACGTATCCGCTTTTTCTTTTTGTTGTGGTTCCCCAAACAGTGTGGCCACACTGAGGGGTTCTTACGGTAAGTGTTAAGGCCCGGTGTTCAATCGAGGTGGTATCGGAAGCATTTGGCATTTTCCCTGTAAATTTCCGCACAAAATGCCTTTTGTGACATGTCCATGTTCATTTCGACTGCGCAGGCTCGCACAAAATGCTGGCCCCGGGATACGGGTCCGGCATCATCCCTGTAAAATTCCGCACAAAATGCCTCTTGTGACATGTCCATGTGCATTTCGATTGCGCAGGCTCGCACAAAGTGTGCTTCCCGGTCTGGGGATCGGTCTTCCTCCTCAACATCCTCATCTTCATCCTCCTCAACATCCTCATCTTCCTCCTCATCTTCCTCCTCCTCCTCCTCAACTTCCACATCATCATCTTCCTCTCCTCCTCCTCATCATCATCATCGTCATCATCATCATCATCATCATCATCAACATCATCATCATCATCTGCATCAACATCACCGTCATCATCACCCTCATCGTCATCGTTATCGTCATCGTCATCGTCATCATCATCGTCATCATCATCATCATCATCATCATCATCATCATCATCATCATCATCATCATCATCATCATCATCATCATTCATCATCATCATCATCATCATCATCAGCATCACCATCATCAGCATCACCATCAACATCACCATTACCATCAACATCATCAGCAACATAAACATCAACATCATCATCATCATCATCAACAACATTATGATACATGATCTCTTTACCCCACACTGTTTGGGGTCTCTTGCCGGGATAATTGTCAGCAACCGCAATGTGCGGATTGACTCGCAGAGTCTTTTCGATGACTCACACACCTTGGGCAGCACAGATCACTGTTTTGGATCATTCATGGAGTTACAGTATGGCAACAAGGATGATCAAAAACAGACAACTCTCCTGCAAAACTCGATGTAGTGGACGAAGTGCATGTGTGAGGTTACCATACATGATGTGAATAATGCTGCAGATATAGAGGGATAGACAAAGTATAGAATCTCGTATTTTCGCGCATACATATGCATACTATACTTGCTTATGTACTTATATTCTAGCAAATAAATGTGTTTTTTGTTTAGTTTGGGCTCAGTGAGATGGCTTTAGTGAATGATGAGGGCATGCCGAAGTCCTGCAGCGTAATCCGCAAAGTGTCCAATGGGTATGAATCATCAGTTCGTTGGAAAGGCATTTTGGTTGACCTCAATTTCTGTGAAGCGGACCATTTCTCGAACAGTTTTTGCATAGACGGGATATGCAGGAGGGGTTGTTCGGAGGTTGGGCGGAAGAACAAAAATAAAATTGTATTCTTCCGAAAATACCGAACCGACCCACCATCTCCAATGGCCGGCATGATCTTTGACAGGACGATGGTGCTGATTCAGACTCTGAGGCTGGCAGGATCTGTTGCAAGTGATGAAAGTGTAACCAGTTCCATGGGAGTGATGATAGTTCTGACTTCGCATGTTGGACTTGTTTTGACCACGAATTAAACCTCATTCGCGCATCTCAACATCAACCTTTGAAGGATACGGAACTTGAAGATCAATCAGTAGAAAGCAGACGGATGGAAATTTGTTTTCAAGACGGTTGGACTTGCCACAAGGCTTGGTAAACGTGCCACTTCAGACAATGTTTAACATCGCCTTAATTGGGTTTGTATGAAACTAAGGTACCCCAAAATCCGAGGGCTCATCAAACGGGCCCAGCAAAAGCGCCCATCATGATTTTCCTCAAAAAATGGCCACATTGTGAGGGGTATGCCCCATTTTCAGACACCCAAACGGTTTGCAGCTGTCAGGCATCTCCGAATTCTACGTTGGGAATGCTCAGGGAAGATGCTGTGGAGATTGAAATTTCACCAAAAAGGCTGTGTAACTAGTGTACTTAGTGAAACTGTCCCAAAGATGGGAAAATTGTTTAGGTACCCTGGTGAAACATGGTGAAACCAGCTGGATTGGATGGGCCAGAGGTGAGCCCAGTGGATGGTTCACATATGGGAAACAAACCATGGGATAGAAAACGGAGAGCAATGTAGTTGTTAATGGAGAACACTACTGGCTGCTGATTGAGGTATTCCTTCTATGCAATCTAGATGTTATATTTTGACTTTTGTTTGTAATTTCTCACATTCTAAAATCATTCTTATAACAGTGATAATGCTGCTACTACCAGGACGCCAGTGTGAGAACAATAGGAGAGAGAACCACTATAATGATCTATAATGGGGGTTAATGCTATGATAGTGGGATTCTATTTCCATGACGGCGGTGATCCCAGGGACCGGGGTGGGTCACAAGTCATCCTTCCAAGGAGTACTGCGGCGACCTTGTCGAAGCTGCAGGACGCTGGTGACAATAGCTCTAGCAATTCAAAAGGAGTTCATACCGAATTTGGACATGTATAATTACATATACACTATGTATATATATATGTATACATATGTATATGTGTGTATATTATATATATACGTATATACATATATGTATATGTATATATATATATATGTATACATGTGTATATGTATATATGTAATATATATATATATATGTATATACATATATATATATATGTATATGCAATGTATATATATATGTATCTAATATACATATGAATTACATATATATATATATATAAATACGTAAACAATATTATATATACATACATATGTAATATATATATATACACATTAAGACATATATATATATATTCATATTAATACATATCATATAATACATATTTATTATATATACATACTAATATACACATATTATGTATTGCTTGTTTATTGCATATAGAGTCAGGGACTGGGAGCGTCCGTGCTAGTTAGGCGTGTGACATTGGCGTAGTTTCAAAAACCAAATGCGCATGTTTTCTTCTCTGCCCCTACAACACCTGGGCTATACGATAGTATTTCACTTCCACATGGTTTGTAGTATCTCATCCCACCAGTGACATGCACGGGCATAATAATTTCGACTTCGCGTGCCTTGTAGTTCGACGTCAGCTATTTTTATCGACCACATGCCTCTCCAAGCATAGTCGCCCGTTCAACTGATTTCTTTCCGGATTTGAAAAGCAACGGCGGATCTTCCACAGTTGGATGTGCGTAGGATCCATCCCTCAGTGGTTTTATTGGCCTGGCAAAGCTGAAGGTCTTGGGGGCCAGGGACAGGATGCGCATGGTGAGGAAATGAAGAAATCATAGACATCCTAGCAACTGGAATCCGAAATACAAGTGTCAACTTTCCTGCTGGTCACTTTTCATCAACATGCAAGTTCGAGTGCTGTGAGACAGGCTGTGTGTTTTTGAGTGTTTTCAGCGCAGATAGATTGCATAGACTTGTGACGTGCCTGAGTCAATGCAGCTGTTTTGATCAATGGTTAGGTCACGATCATTGACATGACGGGCCTGCTGAAGACCCAAGCGCTGAAACCGATTTCACAGTGAAGCCCTCAGGTGTCAGACTGGCCATGCGCTCAACGCTCAGGGTTTCTCAAAGAAAAAAACTGCAGCCTTGCCTTCAGAGCTAACATAGACATAGCATAGTCATAAGACAATCATTTTTGTTTTGGCCTAACCTTAACGCGCAATTTTTGAAGACTTCTGTCCAATTGTATGGAAACATAACATCCTGATCCAAAATAAAAATTATTCAGAAAGCCATAGAAAGCCTTTGCAAGCAAAACTCATGTGCAAGTTGCCTTCACGTTGCAGGAGTCATGCAATACCTTTATATACAAGCCTTCCTGTACATCTTGCTGTTTTCTAAACTTAGCGTTGCAGGGGAAGCAAACCTGATATGATCCGATGTCTGCACACTGGTGCCGGGATGAACGACGCTCTTAGGTCTACCTGGGGTTCAAGCGGCTCGGACTGACAGACAGCAAAAAGGTCGAGTGACTTGGGATTTTCCCTGAAGACGTGATTTCAATAGATTTCAAGGGCAAATACAGAGCTGTTATTGGAGTTTTCAGAAAAGCTGCTATGAATCTGGGGGTCCGCATTGTAGGTTTCGCATTGCAGTCCATCTTGTGGCTTGGACTTGGACATTGGAGACTCTCCCATGATCACGAATCATCACGAACCTCGATGATTCATCAGCAACCACAGCGAATCATCACAGATCATTACTGATCATTACATACTGATCATTGCCGATCACTCATCATCACTCGTTATCATGATCAGGAGAGGAGGACATGATGAAATGATCAGGAAAGCAGGATGAGCAGGATGAGCAGGACGAGCAGGATGAGCAGGATGAGGAGGATGAGGAGCATGAGGATGAGGAGGACCACGCTCATGAGGATATGATGAGAATGACGGTGACGAGGATGACTTTGATAATTGTTGTGAGAGCCATGATGCTGCAATCCAAAATCATATACTGGGGAAGTTTGGGATGGTGAAAGACCACAGATGAAGTCAGCATCCAGATGCGCCCTCCTTGGCTCAGAACAGAGTCGTATGTGCCACATTGAGCAGAACAACATTTTGGCAAAGTCATTCTTTCTGATGGCGGCTCTAACTTACTTTACTTGGGTTGCACCCATGAGGACAACATGACCATTGAACAAGGTTACATTATATATATTATATATATAGAGATTATATATATATATATATAATATATTATATATAGATTCTATATATATATATATATTATTGTTCTGAAACCATGGAGATGGAACGCCAAATAGATCCAAATGCATTTATCGAGTTTTTGAGATGCAATCCTTAAGCTTCTCATGCCTTAATGTTCAACTGACTCATCAACACGTTGTTGTGGTGGTCCCTGCTTTCGCTGGCATGCCCAAACTCCCTGATGGCAGTCCTTTTCATCAAAGGCGGCAAACATTTCCATCCTGGCGATGTTGGATGATCTCCACCTCTTCATATTTGAATTGCGAAAAAAAAATAACCAGATAGGAACTGCATTTGTTCCGTTCATGTTTTATTTATTTTCTTAAAACATCAAAACATATTTGTAATTGTGCTGGAGAAGTGCTAGACATGCGGACAACGCTACAGGTGAGTGGATGTGAGCCTCGTGAGCCCCGGCTCTCGGCTTTGCGCCCATGGTTGCCTAGTTGCACTGATGGGGGTATCAGATATATCAGATATTTGCAGTGGTGTTTTTTGGTGTTTTTTGTGTTGTACACGGTGCTGGAAGATGTACTTTTTCAGAGAGTCTATCGCTTTCCATCCTCGATGTTCGAATTGACATCGACCACTGGTCAACCGAGGATGATTCGCCCTGCTGTCCAGTTTACATGCATGTCAAATCCTTTGCCTTCATTGAAACTGGCTTCCGAGTCATGAGTCGAGTATCGCAACTCAAACCCATATTTCAACTTTACCAACCAAATCTTAGAGAGAAATGCATGCGCCAATGTTGCAACAGTTGGAACCTCCAAAATCACATGGCAGGCGCAGACAGAAATGGGCGCTTCCACCTGGCCACTTCAGCCGCATCTACAGGCCTAAATAGAACATTAAGTACCTCACAATAGCGTGCCTGGTCAAGTACTTGAGGAGCACACCAGCCTTGCATCCTTCAACTGGACCATTGCTCTGCCCCCAAACATGATTTACAGTACAGCATGCCTTCAATTCGCTGAACTGATGAAAAATTGTCACAATCTGATCCTGAGACTGTTGCCCCGGCGTAAAACCTTAATAAACTTAATAAACCTTAATAAACCCCCATGCTAAGCTGCACCCTGATTACCCAAGGGATGAAACAGCGAAGCATTCTGCAGATACGCTGCAGGGTCATTGGCAGGGTTGTCGCAGCTCGAGGATTGCCGTAGCTCAGCTGAATCTGTGGAATCTGTAGCCTCCAGTTCCCTGCAGGAACTCTTCGGTTTTTGCAGCTGACTTGACATAGTCACCATCAGTCACCATGGTGTGCAGCCTGCCAAATGGCCCGGAGTGCCGAGGAACACAGACACAAGAGGCAAATCAGACCCATACTGTGTGGTCAAGGCTGGGTCACTTGCAAACATGGAGTGGATGTCCGCTGAGTAAAGGATTGGAACATGGCGCTGCCTTCACATTCTGCCTTTGCGGCTTTTAGTGACGCCTCCTTCTGTCATTGTTCTGGCTATTTCCTGTTACAACCCAAATGAACTAAGTCGAAAGCGAGGTATAATGAAGTGGGCATAACATGTTGCCGCCTTGAACAGGTTTCCCACACAAGGATTGAAGCAAAAGAATCTTTATCCGAAGCAGTTGGTTTGGATCATTTGTTAACCATTTTTTTTGCCTCAGGGCATCCGCTCCAACAATCACATGGCAAACATTTGGATCACGAAAGCGGCGCAGCACCTTGGCCGCAATGGCGGCTTGACACAGCCTGACGTCACTGGTGCCCTTTGGAAGATCGCAATCAGCCGAGGAACACACTATCGCCCCACTGGGAGGACATCAATTTCGAGGGTGGGGTCTGGCACAAGGATTTTTTGGTTGACTAGTCAGTGAGACCGAAGACCATGATGTAGCAAATTCTCATATTCATGCATATTTCATCATATTTCAATATGAAAACCCACATGGGAGAAAGGATCACCATGGAGAGTTCTCGAAGGCCTGAGCCCTACAATCTGACCAGGAGTCGTTTGACTACATGGTGCCTCCAGAATGGGGCCTGGTGGAATTGGTCGGTCTGAAGGCCTGTGAATGCTTCGCTGCTTCGCGGCTCACAGGGGCAGCTGATGGACATATCATATCCCTCAGACTCAAAACCATCGAAACCCATTATTTCCTTTGCTGGTCCTATTTTGGATGGAGTGTATCAGTGATGGGAATGTTGCTGAACGGATAACGAATCTGTTTGAACACCGGTTTGACCAAGCCATGAGCCCAGAGCTTTCAGAGCAAGAGCAAGACGGAAAAAGTCTCCACAGAGAGTTGTTTCTTTAAAAGTTTCAGCTTCTGATTGCTTCTGCAGCAGAAACCAGAACTGGTCTTTTGCTTGCTGGAGCTGCCGGAGTATGAAATAGACGTCGGCAACGGGAGGCCATGGTTTTCGATGCGGACGATTACCACATTTCCTACCAAGGAGACTGGGCCGGGGCAAGAGAGTGCAGAACGCAAAATTAGATAGGCTCATTTACAGTATCCAAATTGTTCCAAATTTTCATATATGCATATATATATATGCTGTACTTTGAGGTGCATGGAATTTAGTTGATTTCCGTTGCTCAGCAAAGCTTAGCTATCTATTCTTCAAGATGCTGCAAGCCGCTGAGATAGGCTTGAGGAGTATGTGAAATATGTGTATGGTGAGGTATTCAGACACAAACAGGGTGTATCATTGGTGGGTTTCCGGTGGCCAAACACCCCAAAACAATCATCCCTGAATGAGCTACTGAAAGGCGCACACAGACAAGATTTGAGCTACTGAAACTTGGAAAATGAAGGCCAACCAGAAAAAACAATAAAACTATCATGGATGTTAAAGACACACTTTATAGACTTGAAAGGCAATCTTGATCCAACGAGATCACTGATGTAGCTTGGATGGTAAACGCAGGTGATGCTTGTACTTGCTCTCTTTGCTTGTTTCTCAGAAGGTTACGCGTGCCTGCAAACTTTGGCTCAATTCCCGTAGCCCACATCGATTTTGTTCCGTTTTCCTTTCTTTTCCCAGGCAGCCCGGCTTTTGTGACAATATGAGGCTGAGCTCCACATTGGCCACGTGGGTGCTTCCCATGATCGTTGCTTCTTCCGCTTCGTGCAGTGGTCCTAATTCTAGCTGCGCCGCAAATGACATGGAGGCCAACGTGCTGCTTCAGATGAGCGAGGTCAATGAGATGGGCACAGATGCCTTGAGTGATGATGTCATCCCTCCGAGAGAGGAGGCCTAAGAAGAATGGCAAGAAAGGATTCTTCGGCGGTTGATGGAAGCCCGCATGGTTTCGACACATCCCGGCCTACCGCCGCAGGTCTCCCCATCCCGTTCCATCTACAAGTCACTTGAATCTGCTCTTTTGATCTTTTATGATGCTTTGGGAGACGTTGATTTTCCACAATAGCCTTCAGTGTCAAAATGGTGTGCACATGTTTGACACATGGCCGACACCAGACCCCAAGGTACCACTGCGACGACGGATGCACCACCCTCGCCCAGGTAGCCTTGTCTGTCTCCAGATCAATGTACGGGAGTATGAGCTGTCCAGACAAGAATGGATGGCAACACAAGACATGAGACCTTTATCGGGCCCGTGCAACAGCGTTGCTAACTAACAGACACAGAAGCCTGCATTGGTAATGCTGTTTGCCGAAGAAAACTGTGCTCAGGGCCAGGGCAACTGGGCTGACCTGGGCAGCGCTTGATTCAGACTCGTGTTGAATTAGTTTAAGCACCTGTCATTGTGGATTCAGTGTTGAGGCCAAACTCATCTTTCCATCATTCGCGCAAACAGTTGCGGTGCTCACACATCATTATTATTCTGTATAATGTATATATATATATGTATATGTATATACATGTATATATATATATATATGTATGTATATATAAAAATACATGTATATATAAAGATATATGTATATGAATATATATTTATGTATATATATATATGTATATGCCTACATTTATATGTATATATATATATCTGTTTTTTGCCACGTATATCGACCTTACCTCGCCAGACAAGGCATCCCTTTCGCCCCCTCGCGATTTGTTGGTACAACATTGGCAGGCAATGAAGACTTCTTGGGCGGATGAGCCTTTGGCTGGTTTTCTCCAATTGCTGCAAGTATTTGGGCATGGGTCATGTCCTGCCACCCATGGGAACATGGATTGATAAGGGATATATCCAATTATATCCAACTGCTTTGTTGTGAAACCAGGGTACCAGACTTTTGAGCCATGCTGGGAAAATCCGAACTTGACACTGACACTTACCACTGGTAAATTATTGCCAAAGGGGAGAGGAATGGATGATTTTACTCCCCTAATATTTGGGGTGTTCGGTGCAAACCTGACTTTTGGCTGCATTTTGCAGATAGTAGGAAATATATCATGAGTATGCCACACAATGAATGACTCAGTGTGGGCATGTATGGGCCGTAACGCTTGAACCTTAACAATTCTGAGGTCTGAACGTGTTTTGAATTTGTCAAGACTGAGAAAAAACGGTTAGGAAGAAGAAAACCTTCGAAAAATTGAAATCAATTTTCACAAATTTGTTTGCAGCTGGGATTGCGATTCAGGATTCATAGTAATTTGATGTTTGTTTCAAGTCCCAAGTCGTCCTGCTGCCAGGTGATATTGATTTGTCTGGGGCCGTCACTGGGCGTTGGGGGCTCATCCTCTTTGCAGGTTCACGTTGGATCCCGTTCCCCAGAGTTGACCCAGGTGCTATGAACTTTGAGCTTGAGCTGGCTGGCATTCCAGTGAATAAGGCATGAAGTGAAGTGGACATGTCGACTATGTGACCTATGTGACTACTGGGCGACACAGAACAGTTTGTCCATCCACGAACAAAAATCCATCGATGTAGCAACCCCTCTTTTCGGGCCCTTTTTCTAGCGCTTGCAGCTTTCACTTGCAAACGCATCAACCACAGCTTCCAGAGGTTCCATGTTGGAGACCTATTCCATGAAAGTCCTTATCTCCCGGGTTCATTCGTTCTTTCGTAAGAGCATGTTTCTCCCCACCGCATTGAAAAAACTGGATCTTTCATTTGCTCGGGCACACTGGGCACACAACTGTTTTTCAGGCCAAGGGCAAGAAGCCCCGACTCACAATTGTGGTCACGGTGTATAAGGCCTGAGCTGTTCTGGGATTGTCTGATTTCTTTTCAACACTTAGTCCGCCAGTTTAGTCAGCCAGTGGTAAAGTGGTTTGTTTTCTTTCAGTTGCTGAGTTGGGTTATCCTTGAGATTCACCAGGTGATCTTTGCTGCTGTATCTGCTCCTGTATCATGTGTACCTAAGACCGGGTGGCAGGAAGTGATTCCCAAGCCCGAGCCTTTGATGGATCAGCTGCTGGAAAGTGTGCGCAAAATGGAATACATCCGTGAGGCCTGGAATCGCGGATGAAATTCCTCGAAGTTGATCAAAGGATTATCGGTTATCGGCTTGTCTGAAAACTGGATGCCATTAACCCCCATTGGTTTACCATCATTTCCCGACAAAAACAGGCAAGTTTGGGTATCCCCAATTTCAAGACATGACAAAACATGACAAAACCGTGTTATGTCAAGTTTTTGGTTGCATGGCAGATGATTTGTCGATCATGGTCTATCAGATTATCATGGTCTATCGCTTTCGAGCATTCAGCCTATCAAGCCTACCATACTTTGAAATTACCTTGTGGAGACTAATGACAATGTAGTACCAGACTCCCTTTGCCTGCAAGGTGGTCGGGAAGGTGGTGAAAGCGCAGGTTCGAGAGTCTCAGTATCCGTCTCATGGCGTTTGCAGGTTTCCAATGTTTGTGATGGCATTTGAACCTATCAAATCCCTGCTATCTCTACGACTCTACATACTGTTTCTCTTCTGCAGGTCATCAATAGCATATCAAAAAAGAAGCTTCTTTATCTCATTTTTTCCATCATGTGGATTCTAACCACCCTGAGCAGAATAGTTCAAAGGTAGTCGCACCGGCTTTTGTCTCCGAAGAATTCTTCGAAGGAATTCAAGTGAAGACATTTAAGTGTGAATTTTCTTCATTGCAAAGCGCAACAGAGAGGCTCTCCGAAATGCAGACTTGGTTGGGGCAAGTGACCCGCAGTGCATCGTGCGGGTCATTCTCCTCAATGGCGAGGCTGGGCCACGATCGAGGGATGACGATACAGGGCTGTACTCACGACAATAAAAGAACTTTACCATACCAACGAGCGACAAATTAAAGCATACCACAAACAAAGGAGGGTAGGATCCGACTAATGGATTTCTGCTGCCGCTCTCAACTGCACCACTTTTTGTCAGAACCATGCCGTTTTTTTTTTCAAAAGTTAAAATTTTGTTGTGGTTAGGCCGGCGTCTCGCGATTGGGACGCTTCATTGGCAACCACGATGAGATGCAAACAGCACAACAACTTGTCACGGCATCCTATGGAGTTAAGGAACTGGCTGCCCCAATTGATGTGGTTTGCATGGTCCTGAATGATCAACAGCAGCGGGTTCACAGCAGTCCTGACTGTGAACATTGCCAGTGGCAGGCACGAGAAATCCATCGTACAGAAGTCATCAAGGACAACTTGGATCCTGAATGGCACGAGGCAACAGGTGTTCTCTGGGTGTCCTCTTATCCCAAATCCTGGCCAATCAACTAGAGCATTTGCCGGATCACTAGCTGCTTGACATTAGCAGAGGTGATTGGCTGCAACATCATTTTATATAATTTTTTGAAATTACATTTGATGCGATTCGTAGATAAAGTTTGTTATTCTTGGTCGGGTTGTTTGTGGTTGAGTTCCCAAAGCTCTTGCTTCCGTGCTTGCTATATCTTATATCTTGCTATGCTATGTTTGTCCGATTTGTTCATCAAACCTATTGACACAATTTGACACATATGAAGAGTGTATTTGTTCCTGGTCCACTGGGTCCATCCGTTACAGCACAGCCCTCTGGACTGAGATAAACTGAGAACCTTGCCAGGGATTCCACGCCAAGTTTGAGCATGACGAGCAGCCGCTCCTCTTGGCCGATGCACTCAGGGCGAGATTGGGAGGGAGAAACGTGGAGGAAACGTGGCATGAAATCCTGGCATGAAATCCTGGGGCTGAGGTTTTTGACATTTGGGATTGTGATAGCCCCACGAAGCCTGCAGAGGAGGGGCTTTCTAAAGGCTTTTCAGCTTTTTGCACACACTGGTGATTCCTATGGTGTTTTCGGAGTTGCTGGTCATTTTCAGAGCAGGAGTCTGGCGAGCACCTGGGCAGCGCTGTGATTCCCTTGCTGGATTGCCTGCCTCCCGTAGCGAGGAACCACAAGTTGAACCTGCAGGGAGAGACACTTGGACGGCGAATCCGGAGGTTGGCACCGTGCCCAAACACATCGCATCACACACGCACACGCACACGCACACGCACACGCACACGCACACACACAACGAATACACCAAACTGATCCAAACTGCAACTGGGTCGCGTCCAAGATGTCCAAGGACGCAGTTGCACGAACAGCGGCTGAACAAAAATGGCATCAAAGGCATCGAGGCGAAGGTGGAAAAACATGGAAAAACGCTGGGACCACCAAGGGTATACCATGCTGCCACCATGCTGCCACCATGCTGCCACCATGCTGCCACGCTGGTATACCATGGTGAATCCATGGTGATCCATGGTGGCACATGGGGTTCCGATAATGGCAGTGGAATTGATCGAATCGGGACGGTAGCCTATCAGGGAAACCCGAGGTCAAGTGATAGCAACTGCTCGCAGGTCCAGCTGGATGATGGGACTGGGAGACCATCTCTGGACTCAGCCCACTTGTGCTGTCCCAAGATGAGAGCCACACTGCAGGGCTGGGGGTGAAATCGAGTCTCTGGTTTCATCGAACTTGAGGTCTGACCGTCCCCTAGAAGAGGAAAAGGAGAAGCCAAAGCTCTCTTGCTTGGACAGGTGATCGAAATCGGCATTTGGTGTTGCATTTTTAACTTTAAGCTGCAGCACATGCGCCTGGGATAGTAACAAAATGTAAGAGTGGCTCCATGTGGCTCCTTTTGCAGGTTGACAAAGGCAGCTGTGGACTTACGAGAGAAAGTGAAGCGGCTTGGAATGCATTAAAGAAATTTAAAGAATGCAATATCATCAATATCTGGCTTGTTATGGCTTGTTCATCGTCAAAGTGTGGGCTTGTCTAAGACAGATAGTTTCAGTGTGAAATTAGCAATCAAGCCTGCTTATGCTGGTGAAATGGGGGCAAGGAAGCTGGCTCCTGCAAACAGTTTATCGATAAATGCCGGAATAGATGGAATCCAGTAGAATCCACTAGATGATCGCTTGAAGGTTGAAAGATGTTGAAAGCCAATGGGCGGGTGGTGTTGCTCGCGAGTCGCAATCTCCATTGGTCAACCCTGCCGTTGGGCATTTCTCCAAGATGACCCAGAAAGGATCCAACCTTTTTACGCTATGTCACTATGTCTTGGCCAACTGTCCATCTCAAGGAGCGCGTACTATCTTCAAAAAGTGGAGCGCCCCAGTCTTACTGCTTTTGCCTCAGTCTTTTGTGGCAGAACTTTGGACAGCATCAATCTGGAAATGTTGTGCGGATTGATGACATGTCAAGCCAAACTATGCCAAACTCAAGTCTTCCGAAATATCTGTCTATTCTGACACCAACCAGCTTGCCCGTCCTCTTCTTTTCATGATTCAGCGGAACAAACGGAACGGACCCAACTCAAGCTCGCTGAAACTACAGTGCGTAAGGTCGAAATCAGGACAAGAACAAAGGCAGAGCCAATGTCTGGGACCTCAAATGGGATGGACAAATATTGAGAGCATATGTGATGAGGAACACATTTGAAGTTGGGAGTCAGAATTTCTGAGGATTGAAGCATCCTCTTTCATTTTTTAGGATACGCACGTGTTTGTTGAGGCATTTTGACAAGGCTTTGCCTGGTCTTGTGATGAACCACTTTCAACATCTTTCAACCTCCTGAGAACTGAAGGCCTTTGCAATGTTTTATGGACAAGGCCGGACTTTGTGCCAGACGGTCAAGCGGACTGCTGGCTAGCTGTATATGCATTTCTTGAGATTTTGCGGGAAATATGTTCATTTAGAAATTTAGATCCATTGGATGCAGCAAAGATGACTGGAGCATCTTGGACCAGTGCACGTCTCTGACTTGGATTCTTCGACCTTTTGTGATTTGTGAATTTGTGCAGGCAGTGTACGTGGCAGATGAAGATGACGCCAAAGCAGTCTTGAAAAAACCGGAGGCCCATTGGGATAGATCGATGTTCTCACCACCTGCAGAGCTGTTGGAGAAGGGTCGACCTCCCCGCGGTGAGCTGTCTGGACTGCAGCAGATTGTTTTCATTTATGGCACAATACGAGGTGCCTCGGGTTTGCCGGCGGCTGATGACAACCAGCTGAGTGACCCCTTTTGTGTGGTGGAGGCTTTATCGAGAACTGCAGGAAAACTCTTCCTACATCGTACGCGCGTGATCAAGCAGAAGCTTTGTCCGGAATTCAATGAGACATTCTACATGCCGATCCCACAAGGCTTTGAGTGCAACAGGATCATGTTCAGCATCTACGACCGGGACGAAACATTTGGCGCCATAGTTGGGAGCGGAGTGGACCCACTTGAGCAAGATGAGTTCTTGGGCAGAGCGAGCGTGGATATTTCCTATTTAATGAGTGGTGAGAAGCTGGTCGAAGACATTCCCGTCTCCGGCTCTTTTGTCGGAAGTCAGGTCAAGACAACCACTGGCTTTCGCAGGGTGGCAACGATTTCGATCGAGTTGAGCGTGCAGCGTCGAGTGAAGCCATGCTACGGTTTGGCACCAGAGGATCATTCTGCCGTCATTCCACGAAGAACGCACAAGGTTAGCAGACAGCCGTACTCTGTCGTCTATGCGGATCCATCTCAATTTATGACAGAAGTGCCTTTGGAAGAACAAATTGCCATGAATGTCATGGACGCACACAGCACGGGCCGGCTCATAAAAGGTGGGCAAAGTGTGGTAATTGAGCACTTTTCCAAGAGTTTGTTAAGAGATTTCCTTTTCAATCTAAGTCAGGTTCCATCCATTGGCTGTGACACTTGCTGTGTATTCAAATCTTATCAAATCTTTCTAGAATTGGCCTGAGCGAAGGCAGCATGAGACAGCAGATCATCGCAGATCATCCAGTTTTCCATGGTTTTCCAATATTTTTCTACCTGGTTGGTTGGGTTGGCCCAGTCAAGCCCTGCATGCCCTGCGAGGTGCTGGACAGGCAGACTGGATACAAAAGCCTCGTGAAGCTCCAGAGATGATTCCAGAAAGCAAGCCACAGGCTGCCCGAAACCCGAACCCCGATGAAACATGGTAAGACATGTGGTGGATGTTTGTCAGATGACAGGATGTTCATAATTACAGGCTTACCGGTCAGATTTGGTCAGATTTGGTCAGATTTACAGGGTTTTAAGATATTTCAATTTAAAGTTATTTTAAGTTATTTTATGTTCCGTTGGATTTTGACTGATTCTCCCTTTTATCGGCACGCTGCCGTTTGCGACACGTCGGGCCCCATCTCCATGATCTGTTGCTACGCTCCTGATTATCACAGAGTGGGCACATCACCTCCCAAGAATTTGAACCAGGATCTTCAGAGTCCCGAACTTATTGTTATTATGAGATTGTCATGTTTAAAAGTTTAAAGAATTGCTATTGTCATGTAGAAACTCACCAGAAACCACTGAAATTGAGCCCTCTGCGTGAGATCTTGGACGTGCGCCGGGCCAAGCCTCAGTCGGAACCACCTGGCTTGGACTTTACACAACATTCTCCGGTGCAGCGCTGTGATTCCCTACCCATACTTCATTCAAAGTTTCTTGACAAAAAAGGATGTAAGATCACACAGTCATGCCCGTTTTGTTTTCCTTTGTTTTTTTTTGCCTTGTTAGCTGATGTCTCTGGTGATTTCACCGGAAACCAAATCCTGAGCCCTTCCAAAAGCAGACGAGGTTCGAGCAGACACCAGCTCTCTTTGAAATGACGCAGCCACACAGGGGCAAGGGCAAACTCAGCATTCGGCAGGTGAGGGCTTGATGATGTGTGTGTGATACCATGTTGCCTATTAGTTTTTGAATGTTTTTGATAGTTTTTGTGGCCCTTGATGGCTGCTACCTGGGGTGTGCATGTAGTCTAGTGATCCAAGTGGTGATAAAATGCGACAACCATTGAAGGCGTGAACCAGCACATGTCATCATATGATCATGTGTCATCATGTCTCAGTGTCTCAGATGTCAGGCCTTCAATTCTCAGTCCACGCAGAGCATCATGCAGAGCCTCAAAGGTTTGTGGTTCAAACCCATGCCAGACACTTTGATCCATCGGAAGGTAGAACCTAGTGCCTTGGAATGCCTTGGACTCGTATGACTCGTGACCCGGGGGTAGCCCTGCGCCCAAGACTTCAAGATGCTCATGCTCTAGTCACAAGTTGCTGGTTTTTGCCAATAATATAGATATACAATGATATACAATGATATACAATGATATACAATGATATACAATGATATACAATGATATGATATACAATGATATACAATGATATACAATGATATACAATTATATTATATTCATGATATCATATACATACAATTGTATACAATCAGGTATACGTTTATATTTATATACATTTGAATACAGATGATAGATGTTTTTGCCTGCAGACCGAAAACCGACCTAGCGTTTATGCGTTTTTTCCGGATGGGGTGGGGTGGGGGGTGGAACAATACAGTAACATTCAAGTGCACTTGCACACGTACTTGATGCTACGCTATAGATTGTACTTGATGCTACGCTACAGACGTCCTCACTTGCTCTTTCACACGTGTTTGATGCTACGCTACAGACGTCCTCACTTGCACTTGCAAATGTACTTGATGCTGCGCTACAGACGTCCTCAGTTTCACATGCGCACGTACTTGATGCTACCTAAGATTGGGTGGGATGCCGTGGGGTGGGGTTGGGCTGGGATTTCAACGTCATGTTGCTGGGATTTCAACATGTATGTATCTATTGATATACAATTATATATATATACATATATATATATAATATAGATATTTATCTATAATTGATACATATGTAATGTCTGATAGAAAACCTTTGAAATCTTTGAAAAGAAGGATTCTATATAAGCACTTTGAAAAGTCCCGACAAGAAACTTTTCCTTTATGCAAAAACATGGCTATGCAAGTTTTTGCATCGAAATGAAAGTATTGCCCAAGTGACGGCAAAGACGCTGAAGAAAATGTGAGAACAAAAAAGAGCCTGCTGCCCGTGTTGCTGATTACTCTTCACATCTTCATTTTTTTTCATGGATGCTATATCATGATCATGCAACATACATAAAACGCGTGCGTTTCGACACAAATACTCTCAATTTGAGAGCCCAAAAAAATACTGTACATTTGTCAAGCGAAATCAATGGCACCGAGGCGAAAATACATTTTTCTCAAAACACACTGGAATTGCGAAGGAAAGGAACACTCAAATCAGTCATAAAAAAAAGGCTTGGCGTGAGTTTTTTTCACTTCACGAGGACATCACGAGTGTTAAACATGTGATGAAACGCACGGCCGAAAATCGGTCTCTTAGCGGGGTCGCTGCCGCCTGTGAGGTGCCAGCTCGGCTGAAAAGCCTGAGAGTCCGCATGGAGATATGCTTCTGAGATGAGTTTTACGACTTTCAAAAATCAAAAATTGGGGGCACCACTATGCAAAAAATACATCAAACCATGACAGAGACAGACTTTGATGAATTTACATTGTGAAATACTCTGAACTGTTACATGAAATGTTATGAACCAATGCAAATTCATTCTAAGATGATTCATATCAGCTCTTTCACCCCGAGTCTGATCCCAAAGGGACTGATCTCTTGATAATGACACACTTTAGTCGACGGAATCGACCAGACGTCTCCGTTTTTCCTTGTAAATGTGCCGAAGTGTGCCAATCGTGCCACTTCACTTTTGAAAGTCTTGCACGATACTCCAAAAGACGTTTGCTATACAGAGCTTTGCACGGCAGCTGGTTATAGCTGGTTGGTTTGAATAGCGGTCACCAAGACTTGGGCTTAAGCTTGCTTTGTCGTAGATCTTCACAGCACGGATATCCCATTCATGATCAGCAGTAGTTGTCACAGTGAGAGCAGTCCTACGTACAACAATCCTACCACAGTCTTCATATCGTGTCCAATCGCCACGCTTTTACCTAAACAGGACAGGGCCACAAACAGGATGTAGTGCATTTCTGAGAACAGAGACACGGTTGGTGATCTTAATTGTACTGTAAATGGCAGGGGGAGAACACCAAGACTCCATAGCACCCGGCAGACACCCACACCTCGTTCCCTGCCATGGACTGCGATGAGTTGTCTATGGCGCTTCCAAGATATCCGAACGGCCCAAAGGCTGATCCGATGAAGCCAGATTACGCGAATCCCGACTTTTGGGATGCTCGCTTCCAAGATACTGAAGGCCTTTTTGACTGGTATGCCACTTACGATGAACTGAACGATACCTTCGAGGAGTTTTGCCCCATCAAGAGCCATTGCGAAGACTCGCTGCTGGTGGTCGGTTGTGGCAACTCCGCTTTCTCTGCAGAGCTGCATGGCGCTGGGTACCAGCACATCACCAGCATCGATATCTCCAACTCCGCGATTTCGAAGATGAAGCAGCTCTTTGACAGGCCAGGAATGACTTGGCATCCTGTCTCAAAAGGTCAAGAAACAACTTTCACAGCTGTTTGATTTTCCGTGGAGTCCGCTGGCCAAGGATATAAATGGCAGAACAATTTACTTTACCATCATCCAGTAGTGTGTTAGTGAGGTGTACAGCTGTTTACTTTACTGATTTGCATGAAGGATTCTGAGAACAAAACGGCTTTCTTAGTAGTAACGGCCAACTATTTTTTTGTGAAGCAATAAACCCACCAGATCCTGCTGTGTGGTGGTTGCAATTCAAGGCAAGTCATGGATGCGACAGCCATGACGTTTGATGGCGACAGTTTCCACTTGGCTGTGGACAAGGGAACCCTCGATGCCATGATGAGCCCTGGAACCAATGAGTTCGCAGGAGCAACTCGGACCGAGTTCTGAAATCAATTGTCCTTTTTCTTTCGAATTGGCGGAATTGCTTGTAGCGGAAGCTTGCGAAATGATTCTGGTCGATAGCATGATAATTATAGAGGGTCGCTTGTTTTGTAAGTCACACCGTGTGTTGCCAGTAGTTGCCAGCAGCCCTATTTCCCGTGTATTGGTTGACAATACCTCAGCCCAAATGTTGTTGTTTCCATCGGTTTCCGCTGTGTTTGGACGCCCCAGGCCATGCTGGAAGAGGTTTGGCGCGTCTTGCGGCCTGAGGGGCTATTGATTGTGGTCTCCCACAGCGGGAAACGCCTGCAGCTGCTGAAGAGCCATGGCACCTGGCAGTGCCTGGAGATCAGAAAATGCCGCCTCTCACCACAGGCGGGCCTTGGGGGACTGCAAGTGGGTGCCTTGGGTGCTTGGGACTGGGTGGATTTGCAACCAGATTTGCCATCTTGAGGCAACCTTCATCAATATGTTGCGCTGCAAATTGCCTCCTGGTGCGCCCTTGAAAGATGCCTTGCAACAACCCCAGCTGCTGCAAGAAGCAGCTGAGGAGGCGAAACAGGCACTGAGGCAGGGCCATGAAAAGCTTCGAAGCTGTGGAAATCGCAGGCATGCCGGGATTCCAGTGATTGTTTGTCGGCTGAGGAGGATGGCCTTTCTTGACGCCTTCAGGATCTTCAAAGCGAGGAGACCAATGCGACAGTATGGTAAGTAAGCTTGAAGAGCACCTTGACTGTGGGATGCTTTGGAGAGGCTTTCATGGGTTTGCTCTCTCCCATGGTTTTCCTATGTTTTCCTATCAGAACTTGGCTTGAGACATTCGAGACATTGACTCAACAAGCTGATCTTCGGCAGGAAGCAGGCACAGGCAGGACATATCCAGGAGGCGGAAGAGGAGCCGAGAGTGAATCTATCAAGGAATGTGTCAAGATAAAGTCCCACAACTGCTGGTATCATTCTGCCGATTGTTCTAGGCTCAAGTCTCAAAACTTCCTCCTACTTGTGCACAACTGTGGGATATCACAGATGGAACTATGCCACAGTGCTGCAGGAACCTCCGGGCGAAGCCGGGGAAGCTGTAAGCAATGGCTCCAATGGGTCAGACCCAAGACGGCAGCCATTTTGTACCTTGGCGAAACCAAGCAGTAAAACTCAGAGCAAGCCCAATTATCATCAATCAAGATATACAGCTGCTGAATTGCTGGTGGATCCAATGGGCCCAGTGGCCCAGTGGGCCAGTGGGCCCATTGCCACTTACACATTGATCATACTGGTTTCTGTGTCAAGGCTGGATCTATGTGCTCAGAAAAGTGGTGTAAAAAGCTTTTGCGACTCTGACATGACAGACGTTCACCGGTGAAATTTGAAGATTCAAAGTACTTCAAACGGATTCTGTTTGAGTTGGATGGCCCAAAATGATTTGATATTTGACTCATGCAATCGTTTCCGTTCTTTCTTGGGTTTGTGATGTTTGTGGTTCAAGTATGGAGGTTGTGGATATGATTCTTCCATGCTTCTACATGGGATCTATCTCTGTCTCATTCAGTGCTCACTTGAACTTGGTGTCCCCGTTTCTGGTGTTTTCAACTGTCTTCATACCTCAGCCTTTTCAAGCTTCAAGTCACATGTTCTAAGCTCTATCTTCAGAGTCGTATTTGTGATGATCCTGTGGTTGAACGTTGCCCATGCTTCTGCTTGAGACTGGTGTGCGTTTCACTCATAGTATCATTCGCACATGCCATAATAAAGAGTTCAATAGCACCGCGGAATGGTGACTTTATCTCATCCCCGAAAGTCTGAAACATCTCAGATACAAACCACACTGCAGACGCTTTGCAGATCTGCACGCCTATTTCAAGCGATGCGAATGAGTGCTCATTGGTGCCATGGCAGGTTCCCAGGCCAGCAGTTTCCAATAGTTTCCACTTTAAAGCTTCAGTGCCTTTAGTGCCCAGTGTCATACTGTCAATATCGAGTCAAGACGAGTCAAAATCTCCAAGGAGTTATCAGTACGAACTCTGCAGCTTGAAAGCCCAGAAAAGCTCCCCAAGACACACCAATTTTCAAACCGCGCGAGAGCTCAGGGAAAGCTTAAAATTCATGATTCTTTGTCAAGTACGGTACTATTGTTGTGTGCATGTCTAATCATGTCTACGGGTTTGCCTTTTTTTGGTGGTGCCCGAATTTTGCGAAAGCCGCGCGAAGCTTTTCTGCTTTTTGGTGACCGCAGGGTCCAGCCCCAACAGGTCCAGACTTTTGTTTCCAAAAATGGGCTAAGCTTTCAAAATAGTGCGAAATGGCGAAAGCACCGGGTGAATCAGGGTGAAACTTGACCAAATAACTTGGCAACAAAAACCGAGCTGTTTGCAACCTGTGAAATCTTCGGGAAGAGTCCAGGCTGATGCGGTCGCCGCTGGGCAGACCTCTGAAAGGCCCAAAGAAGTGCTGCGGGGCTGCGGTGGATCTGTTTGTGACAGAGGGATTGAATGGAATATTACGGAATGTTGTCTTTGATCTCTTGCAACTTGAAGTTACTTGTATACATTCGTACAGCAGACATACTGATACTTGGCTGGACCACTGGACTTGTCTCACTTGTCTTGTTGTGTGGAACATGCAGTGTGGATTTAACAATGAACGTAGATCAACAGTAGTGGGAGGAAGGCCAGATCCTGTTGTCCATTTTGGCTCAAGATGCCATAAGACCTCAGGTTTTTGTTTCAGGTCCATGGCATGTCAACCCAGCTGGCCCTTCTTCATCCAGCTGAACCTGTCCATCTTCCTTTGCATCCCCTCTGCATGTTGGTACTCCTGGCTTCCATCAGTTGCTTGAGGCCCCTGTGCCTTTGCTGTCGATCGTCAACTCCTGCACAGACCACTTTGCCATCCGGTCTTCGTGTCAGTCTCCATGGGCCCCGATGATGCGCGGGCTGGCCTTGGGCCATTGGCGGACGACAACTCACCACCAAAGACCCTCGAATCTTTTCACTCTGCTGGGAGTCCACGGCACTGAGGCCCCCCGCATCATAGCCATCATACCACCGGCAGATTTGCACACAGTCTTCACCAGATGGCAGATTCCCAATGCAGCGGGCGTGGCGCAGTGGCTCAACTTGGGTCAAGCTGGTACATGTGCGAGGACATGTAGATTCTTGTGCGGAATGGAAACCCGGGCGACGCCACCATCAGTCCCGGCTGTCACACCGGCCACCACAACGAATGCGAGAGAGGTCAACCTATACCAAGTGATCAATCAAGCTGACGAAGACGAAGTGCATATACTTGACCAGGCAGCTGAAGATCAAGATGAAAGGAGTGAGGCCCAACTGCGCCGGAGATATAGTCCCCATTGAGCTCTACGGGCCCTCTGACTTCGAATCGTGGCGGGACTGCTACAGGGTGTTCAGAACTGGCGCAATCATGTTCGAGCAGATCACGCCACCGAAGCTGGACCGGTATGAGAAGACGATCAGACACTTCATTGAGAGATATGGAAAGTCCTGCTAGCCCATCATCTACCAGGCAGATGTACGAGCCCGTCTCGTACATGCTGAAAGACTTCGAAGGATGGGTCAAGAAGCGCATGACCGAGCACAGCAAGCGGGATTCAATCACCATTTCGATCCTGCCAAGCCCTGGGCGTGGGTCTCGGGTGAGCAGTGCATGGAAGTCCTTGGATTCTGGCATCGTGAAGTCACAGAGCCTTGCATGCTCTACCTGGCGAAGACGACCAACCTGAATGCCCTGGTTGAGGATGATTGCCTAACCAGGCCCAGGGAAATCATCACTACGTCCACAAGATCGATGCCTGCACAGACTTCGCAACCATCACAACCTTCGAGGCCCACCAAGCGAGCCAGAGGCCCAGACATCAGGGAGCATCGTGCTGTGGAAGATGGGAGCTTCACCCGCAATGAGCCTTGTCGCCTATTTCAGACAGGCGGGCGCACTGAGAAATACAGCAGACGCAAAGTGCGCCAGAAACAGCAGTCGCCGACATCAGTGCTCAAAGTGCCTGACCGAAAAACACGGTGCCAACAAATGCCAATTAGATGGACCAAAGCAGCCTCGAGCCAACCACGGTCGCAAGGGCCGCGGTAAGGGCTCCAAGTGACTGGAGCCTTTGCAATCAGCGCATGAGAATTCGAAAAGGTGCAGATGAAGACGGATCCCTTGGGAGAAAGTCTGAAAGCCAACCTCATTGATAGCACAGAGCCTTCGAAGCCTGGCACACACGAGGCCAGAACCCGCCAATGCAGCGAGATGCATTTTGCATCTATTCAGTGGGCCTCACCATCGCCCTGATGGACTGGCAGCAAAGTTGAAGAGTTTGGGATGGGACTGCAAGGAGTATGACCTAGTCAATAGAGAGCAGGAAGATCTCACCAATGACTTCATCTGGCAACAGGTGAAGGCAGACATCAGAGCCAAGAAGTATGACGGCCTAATCGCAGGTCCACCATGCAATACCTTCACCAATGTCAGGAAGGATGACGGACTTGGACCTTTGCCACTCAGAGGACCGTCGGGACCGGACAGATACGGCCTGGCGCACTTAGCTGGCGAAGAGAAGGACAAAGTCAGAATTGGAACTTTGAACTTTTCTGGCACAGAGATCGGCAGAAGCTGCACAACTCTTCGAAGACCAGGAGAGACCGTCCATCACGGAGCCACCTAAATGGAAGGATGATGGGAAGAGCGTGTCAATGTACAACCTGGATGAGTTCCTAGCATTCAGGCAGCACGGCAACTTTGAACTCGTGGAGGTGGCCCAGTGCGCGCCAAGATTACCAAGTCAACCACTCTGATGCTTGGAAGAATCAAGCATTGCGAGGTGCGACCAATGTGCACTTATGAGAAGAAACTTTGGAGGAAGCCGAGCACAGGGGGTCCACCTTTAAAGGGAAAACGGTTCATTGAGGTGGAGAAGTGGAGACAGTCCATGCTGAGAACCACTAGGGAAATCAAGATCAGGGACCAACACCGCCCCTATCTGACCAGTGCAGCTCAAGCATACCGCGACCTTGAGGACGCATCAGGACAACTTCAGGAGGTGCGGCAAGTATGCCTTGAAGAGGAGGAGATCAGATGACAAAGAGGAGGCCACGGTGAGAACCAGGGTGCAACTGACTGCACCACTCCATGGACAAGATCCAGAGCTGGAAAAAAGAGGAGGAACCACACTGGGGAGGAATGAGAAATCCCCGCAAGATCTCCAGGGAGATGCCAGGGTACAGACTGGCTGGCCATCGCCTCTGCCAGGTACTTCAAGTGCACTTGAAAGAACACCCAGAAGTGGAGGAGGCCTGCTTTCAGGCCATTGGGAGTCTTGAAGAGGATATGGGCCCCACCGCAGCACAACAGGAGGAGATGGCCAAGCTCCTCATGGAAAATTTCCAGGAGATGCCGACCGACACCGAGACTGGCTTGCATACGCGGCTCAGACCAGGACTCATATGGACACTGGCTAGAGCTGCAGGTGACCCCGAGGCAGATGAGATCTATGACTGGCTCACACAAGGAGCCCCGGCCGGTCTCTCGCCCAGTGCTGGATCCCGGCAACATCTTTCCGAAGACCTTGCCCAGGGAGAAACCGAGATGGAACTCCCTGATCCAGAAAGGCACCACAACTACAGCTCGGTAGATGGAGATGAGATGGCTGAACCAGAGATACAGAGGCTCATTGCTACCGGGTTTGTGGAGATGCGGGGCAACCTTGAAGAGTTCATAAAGTCCTGAAGTCGGCCTCACCTTTCGAAGATGGGAATGATCACCAAAACAAAAGAAGGCCGCATGAAACGCCGGCTGATCTTAGATTGCAAGGAGTCGGGGTCAACCTCAGAGCAACAAAAGGCGGAAAATGAGTCCTACCTCGGATCAGCGATGCCGTCGATGACGCACTCTATCTCATGAAGAATTGCAGTGGGAACCAACAAATCGAGTGGTTGATCCTCGATTTCACTGATTGATTCTTCATCATACCGTTGCATCCTGAGGAGAGGCGCAACTTCACCTTGGCGTACAAGAACACCTATGTGGCCTACTTGACCCAGCCCAGGGCAGTGTCAATGCACCGATCGTTTGCGGTCGAGTGGCTACCCGGAGCGGCTACCCTGTTGGCCGGGCTGACACAGTCGATGTTCAATGACGCCACTGTGAGGCTCCAACTCTATGTTGATGACCCTCTACTATGCGTTCGGGGCACAGGCCAAGAACGCAACACGGCGATGGCCACGGTGATAGCCTTGTGGTCTACGTTGGGGGTCCGGTTGGCCTTCAAGAAGGCGGACCGAGGAGACTCAGTGCGGTGGATAGGCGCCAGGATGACAGTCTTGGACCAACGATCCAACAAGGCTAGAATATGAGGTCAGAGCCAAACCCGAGATTGTGGAGGAGGTGAAGCAGATGAAAGTGCTGCACACTCAACAGAATGTCTGTGCAAAGAAAGCGTTGCAGGCATACATAGGGGAGCTCAATCACATATCGGGCATCATTGAGTTCCTCAGGCCGTTCATGGCAGACCTTTACGTTGTCCTGCACGGCACCAACAACACCAGAGCACCGGCCAACTGTCACTGGACGAAGCAGTGGCAGCATGTCACTGACTGGATGATGGGCTTCTTCAAGAATGAGGCCTCCGATTTGTCAGAGAATACAGAGTCAGCACCTACTTCGGAGAGGGCATCAGGATGGACATTGTCACCGATGCTTCACCTTGGGGCATCGGAGGCTACTTGGTGATCGCGGACAAAATATTGTCCTACTTTTCATGTCCTCTGACAGCCGAAGTCGAGCGAGTGCTGCAGATGAAGATCGGGGAATCATCCTCACAGCAAGTGGCGGAAGCCTTGGCCGTGCTAGTGGCCCTGAGGGGTTGGGAGAAGATAAGATCTAGATGAAACAACAGATCAGGTTGCAGGTGAAGAGCGACAGCATCGGCACGCTCATGCTGCTCAACAAGCTTCGCACCAGCCACAAATCGGCTGGAATGAGCCTGATAGCGCGAGAAATGGCACTCTTGTTTGGCTCGTGCTGCTACAAACCAAGACTCCTGAGCCACATACCAGGAGTGGGCAACGACTGGGCTGACGCTTTGAGCAGAATCCATCAACCGAGCAACAAGAAGGCCATCCCAAGCGGCTTCCTGCAGTGCACGAAGATGACATCTGCAGCCAGGACACGAGCCTACTATGAAACCTTGGTGGCCGCTTCGCAAGACAGCTGAGAGGGGCCAAATGAACTAATGCACAGAGACAGGGCAATGACCCAACCCTCGGTAAAAATGCTGTAGCGAACGTGGAATCCATTCATGCCAACCATTGCCTGAGCGTAGCGCCCGTCCTCTGAATCACCACACAAATTTGGGCGTGGTGCCTATCAAACTCCAGATCGATTTGGGGCGAGGTCACCGCCCAAAATCTAGACATGGTCAGTTCAGAGCGAGGGCAACCGCTTACGGATTCATGCTCACCACCCTCACATTACTCATATGGACCGAGATGCATATATCATATATCGATGAACTTGCATGATAAGTCGTTCACATCAAATCCCCCGTTAGAGCTCCCCCGGCTCAGGAGATGGTATCGAATGGACACTGCTGAACGTTTCTGGTTGCTGTCTGTTTTTCCTCGCTGCCTGTTTTGTTTGCTTTTCATGACCATGGTGATTGCTGGATTTGTCCTGCTTTCGTCTTTTGGGATTGCACCTGTCGTGCACGCAAGAGGGCTCAAAATGAAAAGACCAAGGACCAAGGTAACCAATGGCTTACCAGTGATCAGTCTCACTGCCATCCAGTGCCTTGACAACCAAGGCAAACTCTGCCAGACGGGCGGCCAACAGAATGCCCAGACCGTCAGGGCCCTGCACACGTCAGGGATCCTGAAGTGATTGGGGAACCTTCGCAACGCCCTTGGCTGGCACCTAGAAAGGACGCACCCATTTGGAACTACACCAGAAAGGCAAGAAGATGTCCCGACAAAGTCTGGTCGGAAGAGAAACAGCAGCTGGCCTTGAACAACCTGGTGCTACACTGCGATCAGTGCACAGGGACCACCTGCATCAGTCCTACAGAGCATGCATCGAAAGATGCACAACAACGGAGAACCACCCTTCCCACTAACAGCAGAGAAGATAGCTCGTGTAGCAACCTTCAAAGCATGTGGCTACCGCAGCTTCTCGAACTACATCAGCAAGGCGAAGGAGCATCACATAGAGCTCTATCAGGAATGGGGTCCAGACTTGGCCTTGGAGAGTCGCAGACCGTTCCGCAGTGCCACCAGAGGCATAGGGCTGGTGTCACAGAGAACACCGCGTGACATTGACAGAATCATGGAAGGTCATGGCTCAGACCCTCTGGATAGCCAACCTCTTGTTGATGATGGCCCGATGGGGCCAACTTGTTTAGAAGTGCTGGGCGCCTTCTTCATGCTGAGGGAGGCCGAAGCATCACTCTCACTCACAGCCAATATTAGAATGGACCGCTTTATCGAGACTGTCACCTTGAAGCTGCCTAGCTCTAAAACAAGCGCAGCTGCGGCGAGTGTCGACAGGTCGTAGGGCCCCGTGCTTCGTGGGGAAGAAAGGCAAGGATGCCAAATGATCCACATTGAATCGGTTTGTGAGCATGGCCAAGTGTTGCATGGCCCGATGGGAGTCACCAATGCTGATCCACCATGCCCAGGCTGCACCGCTCAAACACGTCACCCAGGAATATGAGATTGCGATTGATTGATGGTCTGAAAGAACAAATTGATTCCTTGAAACCGCATCACCCGATTCCCTAAGAAACTTTGAGGATCGAGTGAACAAAGTGGAACGGGACTTGATTGCACTTGATGACAAGACTTCTAACACTCTAAGATGATCAGAGAAGAGATTCAGCAAGGCAAGACAAGACTGATAGTGAAGCCTTCTGAGTACATTAGGAATTCAAGTTCCGCCGTTTGGCATGTCAACGCCGTGGATGTCAAATCAACCACCCTTCTTTGTGGTCGGACATTCAAATTCAAATTTTACTCGGTCCGACACCATTTCCGGAAACGGCAAGAGCCGATGCGACAAATGCTGGCAACTCATTAAGAACGGCGGGACCAGCTCGTCGGACAGCAGCTCTCAGTCCTGCAGTTGAAAAGAAATGTTGGTTTGAGTCAGGCTTTGCCTCGTCCACTGCCATTGACCATAAGCAGTCGTGGGGCCTGCTGACCAGGTCTATCTGGAGAGGACTACCTCCAGATCTACTTCAGCAGCCGGTCAACAACAGGCAGGTTGGGGAGGAGTATCCCACTCCTAAAGATCCAGCCATTAGCAGTGAACCCAATTTATGGCAACTCAGGAAAAATCTCTCCTCGTTCTGGTAGGGAGGGTGGGATGTTGATCTGAGTGATTGTTGTTGTGTGGAACATGCAGTGTGGATTTAGCCATGAACGTAGATCAACAATGGTGGGAGGAAGGCCAGATCCTGTTGTCCATTCTGGCTCCAGGATGCCATAAGACGTCAGGTTTTTTTTCTCCCCCCCGCCCACACCATAAGCAGTCGTGGGGCCTGCTGACCAGGTCTATCTGGAGAGGACTACCTCCAGATCCACTTCAGCCGGTCAACAGGCAGGTTGTGGGGAGGAGTGTGGATCCCACTCTTAAAGATCCAGCCATGAGCAGTGAACCCAATTTATGGCAACTCAGGAAAAATCTCTCCTCGTTCTGGTGGGGAGGGTGGGATGTTGATCTGAGTGATTGTTTGAGAGCTGGAGGGGAGGCTGTCCAGTAGAGAGTGGAGAGTATCACTTCCGCTTGTCATTGAATTTGCAAGCCATTGGTGTCATAGCCCCCCAATAGAGAGAACTGATAGCAGCTTCCGTCATACACCAACAGACTGGAAGACTCGAAGGACTTCGTGTAATTTTGTTGCTTCCGCTGTTATGGAAGGCCTGCGCTGGTGTGCCAACAACTCAAGGACCCCGCCGAATCAGGGGCATACCAGAAAGGAGTGTAGCAATTCCAATTGTCCAACTTAGTGGTGCGGCATGACTTTTTGAATACCGCATGGCCAACATGACATCTGCGGCGCTCGCAAAGTTTGATCAGGTTTGTATGAATTTGATTGAATTTGAATCATGCCTGCTCACAAAAGAGCTGGGGGTTTGCCCGCCTGCCATTGGTTCGAACATGAGTCAATGGGTTGGTATGCCCATATCAATTTCGCACCAGTGGTAACGTTCCACAGATATCCCGATATCCCCTTTTTGGATCATTTTGGCACAATATTCACAAGCCATTATGACATATTATGACAGATATCATACATATCCCCTGGCCATCAGGCTGCTTTGTCTGGGCTCTTTGATGCCTCCTTGGCCCAGCGAGCGGCCAGCTGTAGGCAGCTGTTAACTTTGCTGCTTGGCAGGTGAAGTGTAGGTGGGTTTCTTAAAAAATGGGTGATTCTTAAGTAAAAGTGGCCATGACATGCGATGAATCATGAGAAACCATTGGATTTTGGGCCATCTCGATTTCTTTTTGCATATCCCAGGTGCTTTTGAAGTTCATCCCAACATGTTCAGAGCTTTGATCCGTGCGAGTTCAGGGAAAGTTCACCATTGGTTCTAAGAAGATGGATTGGACACTGGTGTCATGCCATTTGGCGAGGTTTGGCAGCTCCGAAACGCCCACCGATGAGCAGATATCTCTTGAGAAGGATTGCCGCTTTCTGCAAGCAACTTGACGCAAGAACTGTCAATTTAAGGCAAAACAAGGCCAGTAAGTCCGACCAAAGTACACAGGGGAAATCCAACCAAAGAAGGCTGGAGGAGCAGAGCTTCATGATCATGATTTAGTTGCCGCTGATGAATATATCTATGATTAATGTTGGATACTGATTATATAGTGTAGGGCCCCCCCCAACAATTTTCGGCTACTTGACTTAATAACTCGGCATTTTCTGCCCCCGCTCAACAATTTTTAGGATAGCCAACTTAAGTAAGGATTTCAATTGACATCAATCTACTTTCAATTGCTTTTCCTTTTAAACCCTAAAAACATCTATTGATAAGAAAGGGTTTCAATTGAAATCACTTTATTGTCAGTTTTTTTGAATCTACATTCAATTTGATTTTCCTTTCAAACCGCAAAGAAATCTATTGATAAGAAAGGATTTCACTTGAAATCAATTTACTTTCAATTAATTTGAATCTACTTTCAATTGATTTTCCTTTCAACCCTCAAAGAAATCTATTGATAAGAAAGGTTATCAATTGAAATCAATTTAGTTTCAACTTTCAATTCATTTGAATCTACTTTCAATGAAAGGATTTCAATTGAAACCAATTTACTTTCAATTCGTTTGAATCCACTTTCACCTGATTTCCCTTTTTGATCAAAGAAAATCACCCCACAAAGTTTTTGTGCACAATGGGGTGCCATCAAAACAATTAGATTATTGAGGATCTGGGCCACTCATGGGGTACCCCCTTGAAAAATTGTTTTGGGGTTGTTTTTAAATAAGGGTTTAATAAGCATCTAATTATTTGAGAAACCTTGCGTTTTCAAGGCTTTAACATGGATATGGCTTTCTAAAGTAAATGGACCAGCTTTACCCAAAGAAATGCGTATGAAGGTGAAAAAAAGCTCCGCCTGGAAAAATTGGATCTGAGAAAAAACTTCTCGCAATTGGGTTCTTTTCAAAGTGTTTGAACATATTCAATTATTTTTGGGAATTGTCTCACAGTAGAGTGCCATGGCACTAATCTGGATCCAACATTAATATGGTATAATTTAGCACGTCGCTCTAGCACGTTTTTGAGGGGTCTCTTTGGAGCCTATGTCTGCCTCCATTTTCTGCACTACTGTCCCCTTAACTTTCTCCATTTTCTGCATTACTGTCCCCTTAACTTTCTCCATTTTCTGCATTACTGTCCCCTTAACTTTCCCCATTTTCTGGAAAGTTAAGGGAACAGTTAAGGGAACAATGATGGAAAGTTAAGGGAACAATAATGGAAAGTTGAGGGAACGGTTAAGGGAACAATAATGGAAAATTAAGGAACAATAATGGATAAAGAAAACGTGTTACAGCAACATCCTAAGATATAATGTAATACCATACGATATGATATGATACAACATGATATGATATGATACAACATGATATAATACGATACAAAATGATATGATATGATATGATCTGATATGATGTGACATAATATGACATAATATGATATAATACGATTTAATATAATACAATATAATACATTATAATATGATTTAATTTGATTTAATATGATTATCATATGATCTCATATAATATAGTAGTATGATTTCACTATAGCTATATGTAACTATAAATATATATCATTAAACTTAAATATAGATATATCATACATACAATCACACACACATATATACATGTATATATATATACATGTATACATATATACATATATATATATATGTATATACATACATGTGTATATATATATGTACATTATATAAGGTCATATACAGTTTAAACTATATATTCTATAGTTCTTAGATGTTCTTACCTGGTACCCATAATTTATGATTTTTACTGCCTCAGTTACTGTCTTGGACGTTTAGCTATCTAATTTTTCCCCAAGTTTTCTTTGAGCTGGATCGGTGTTTTCTAGAATTGGTTGAAGGAAAAACATCACTTTTGGAACCTCTACATTTACAGGCAAAAACTTGCCAGCCTCCTGCAAATGTTCCCCTCAACCAAACCAAAGAATCCCCAATTGGTTTGATTAAATCCTGCCATTTTCCCTTCAAAATCATGGAAACATCATATTTTGTCTGCAAAATCATCCAAGTTCCCAACATGTCATAACATTTCCGTTGGTGAACCCCCCAACCTTGCTGGTTTTCCGTGGGTTTTCTGTGGTTGTCCCCGTTGCGCAGGAGCTTTCGAAGGCCCTGCTGATCCAAGTTCTGTCGCCCGAGTTGCGGCGGGTGGCGCTGGCAGCTCTGCAACAGCTGCCGCGCTGGGATCCGGAGGCGGAGATCGGGGTGCACAAAAAATGTATATGTCATTATATGTATATATATAATATATATATATATATGTATGTAATGTAATGTAACGTAACGTAATGTAATGTAATGTAACGCAACGTAACGTAACGTAATGTAATGTATACTGTAACGTACGTAACGTAATGTAATGTAACGTAACGTAACGTAACGTAATGTAATGTAATGTCATGTATACTGTAACGTAACATAACGTAATGTAATGTAATGATAATGTATACTGTAACGTAACGTAACGCAATGTAATGTAATGTAATGTATACTGTAACGTAACGTAACGTAATGTAATGTAACGTAACGAACTTAAGGTAATGTAATGTAACGCAACGTAACGTAACGTAATGTAACGTAACGTAACGTAATGTAATGTATGTAATGTAATGTAATGTAATGTAATGTAATGTAATGTAATGTAATGTAATGTAATGTATACTGTAACGTAACGTAACGTAACGCAATGTATGTATGTATGTATGTATGTATGTATGTATGTATGTATGTATGTATGTATGTATGTATGTATGTATGTATGTATGTATGTATGTATGTATGTGTGTATATATATATATATTATAATATATTATATTATATTATATTATATTATGTTATGTTATGTTATATTAATTTATATTATATTATATTCTATATTATATTATATTAAATTATATTCTATATTATAGTATTTTCTATATTATATTATATTGTATTATATTATATTATATTATATTATATTATATTATATTATATTATATAGTGTATACATATATATATATATTATGTATATTTTGATAATATTATGTAGATGCATTGATTTACATGATGTAGATGTATCATATTGTATAGACATAAATTCTAGATAAATTGATGAAACTAGATCTTTAAATCATCTCATAATAGAAACCTAGATGAATATAGATGTAATATGTCATTGGCGCAGTGAACCATTGCTACCTGTTTTCGGACAGGTCTTGAACCGGGCAGTGCCATCCTCAGTGCCATCCTCGGACGCAGCGTGACTGGCTGTGACCCGTTTTGGAGGTACGAATTCCTCCGTTCCAAAGGGAGGACGACCAAAACGCCACGAAGCGTCCCATGGAGCCATGGCAGCTTGACTGGGATGTTTGGGTTGAACCATTGGGTGGTTTCGGTTGAACGTTGGCCATGCAAGAAATGTATCACACATTATGAAACTGTAAAATCCAAAGAGTTTGGTGGGGGCACTGCTACCCTTCCTGAGGTATGGAGCCTTGTTTTTCGTCCTAGATGATGAGGACCAATACATTCGCGCAGCTGCTCTGAAGGTCCTGGTAAAAGTCGGAATCTCACAAAGAAGTTTGACGAATTAAATTGAAATCTTAGCATTCCTATGAACGAACTGAAAAAAGGCTTGAGTCGCTTGAGGCTTTGTGCTGTAAAAGTGGAGATGGAAAAGTGTGGTGCTCATTTGGCGCAGCTTCCATTTCAAACAAGTAGTGGAACGCGACATCTGGCGTTTTGGCAAGACTTCGTAGCTGAAAAAACCTTGAAAAACCGGAGCCAAGAATGATCAGCCCGGGGTTAAGGTGCCTGAAGTTGAAGGTTTATTTCAGCGACTTGCTCAAATTGCTTCTCTTTGCCTACACGACCATGCAGTTGGGCGGCTCAGAGCTCCACTGCCAGCTGGGTGAAACCCTTGGAATTCCTATCAACCAACAACAACCATCAAAAACCAAGTCAATGGCCATTTCAGGATCCTATATAAGGCCTATGTAAGGGAATATCCCCACAAAATATGGCCTTATATGGTACAGTACCTCCATTTTAGGATCCTGAAATCCCCATTGACCAAGTGGTTGGCTCCGAATCACTTGAGGAACTGGTGAGAAACGAAGCAGCAGCCGGACACTAAGAGGAACTTTGATTTGGGCGGATTCATGAACGATGATGTTTGATGATATTTGATCAGAATTTGTTTCAGAGCGAGAATCTGTCCAAAGCCTTCGTGCAGAACCTCAAACGTGGCAAAGGTGCAACACGAAATGTGCTAGACTGCTGAATATATCCAAACATTTTGAATTGCTGGAGTGTCCCTCGCCAAGGCTGCTTTGGTGGAAGTCATGACAACCCGAAATGTTGCCTTGACAAGTGGTGCCGCCTCACTCAAGGACCTTGCCAAAGCGAAGATCACTCCAAACTATGCATCCTGGTTGGGCATTGTAAAGATCGCTTTAGCGGATTTATGTCTGAAAGTGTAAGCCAACAAGACTCTTTGTGAGTCAAGACAGCATTTGGCCATTGGCACAGCCTTTGAGCCATACCCTCTTGGTATTGCGATGGGATAGGACGGTCCAGCTTTGGAAACTCTTCTAGAAGCTTTCCCACGGGCTCCACTGGCGGAGCGACACTCAGTTTGAATTGTGTGGATTTTGGAGAGGACCCAATCTTTTTACCAGATGAGGCCAAGCGGCACCGCAAAATGGACAGAGCGCCTAATGGCCTAATGTAATTCTTGGGCAATGCGGCAGTGCATTTGGGCTCTGGTTGAGGTGCTGCAAGTGCTAAAGAAGTCTCGCTTGGCAGATGTCGATGCCGTTCAAGCAGCTCTCCGTTGGACGGTTTCGGTGGAGCACTTGCAGGTGCATGGCCAGTGATATCGACGATATCCAAGTGCCCTTTTGCTCCATCTTTCAGCAATGACTCAGCCAGGAGTCTGAAGTACAAGCTGTGGCCTGGCACTTGGCAGGTGAACTACAGCGAATGGAGGAGAAATCCGGTGCAGTTTGCCGCCGTCTTCTAAAGATGGCCATGTCAAAACAGATGCAACGTTGCAAGGAGCAACCACCGCCGAAACGAAGGAAGGGCAGCCTGAAACTGGACCCCAATCTGGTGCCTGGAACAAGGCACGGTCCCCAGGCAGTCACTTGCCACGGATGGCCATTTGTTGACTTTGAGTCACTGATTCTGGTGCTTGAAACCAAATGGGAGGTTTCTTACCGCCTCGATCCTACATGGTGAAGATCCTGTCGCTCCAGCTGGCATGGCAATGGGTCTTGCGCTGGCTCGCGGTGCAAAACAAATGGACCGGCAGAGCTCTCAGAACTCTCACCGTGATGGTGCTGCAAGCCTTTAGTGAATCAACCAAAATTTATGCGTGCATAGTATTGCATAGCACCCCCGTTGTTGTAGCCCAGTTTGCAGTTTGGTGGCAATGGGATTTCAATCTGTTTATATGTCTATTTTCTCGCTGAAGTTCACACTACCTTTGTAGCTGAAACCTGAAACCTGATGGCACCGAGCATCTGACTCAGGCTCGAGACTGTCTTGAGGTCTCTGGCGGCCAGGCGAGATGGAACCTGCCCCTGTCATCCCAGATCCATACAGCCCACCCTGGAAAGCCTTCCTTTGGGAATTTGAGGGAACTTGCTGGCCATGACAGATTGTGATGGGCTGTGTGCAGGTGTGATGTAAGCATACTTCGTGGTTCAGATGCATTTCCACTACCCAGGAGCTGCGGTGGAAAGAAGCGGGTTTGGCGAATCGAGAGCTGGTATTTCAACATACCTTTTAAAGTTTAAAGGTGTCTCGCCAACATCTTTAATGTTCTATAATAGTCTTTCTGATTTCCACTAGTGAAGATAAGAAAATCCGATGCATGAGACAGCAAACAAAACAAAATTCAAGCAGCTTTTCTTCGGACAGGAAGTCTACAAGGTAATGATATGCAATGATTGTTTATGTTTCCTCAAGCTTACACTCCAAAGAGCTTGCTGAAGGAGCTCCAGGCAAGGGGAAGATGACATGCTCCTCACTCAGTTGAAGGGCTTTCAAATGGCTTTCAAACTTTCAATCTTGTGACCGGGCTTTGTCTTAAAGTGGAAGTTGTTCAATGCTGTTAATGCCTTATTAAGGAGGGGATACCTTCATCTGCTGGAGGAATATTGGCACGAGACAGTGGATGTGGTTTTAGAGGTGGGAATTCATTGCAGTTTTTGTTGCTTCATGTAAGAAACCGATCACCTGAGCAACAGCAGACGCAAACACGGCAACCAACTGCCATGGCCAACCACAGCCAGCAGAGATACCCATCACAAACATCATCACAACTGCCAACCGCAATAACAACATAGGATCAAGAGTAGGGCAACCTGTGAGAAGCAAGAAACTTCAACACCCGAGATAAGGACAGTTATGACAGTTGCATTACCGCCATGAAGAATCTATAAGAATCTGCCATGAAGAAAGGAGAATAAACCAACCGCCCGGAAAATTTTCACAACTCTTGGTGGATTTCTGGAATCCACTGAGATCATCCACTGCTCCAGTGCCAGGAACCAGATCCTGATGGCAACATTTGCAGGCCATCGCATCGAGATTTGATCATGAAGTTGAGCTTGGTGCTTAGCGGAAGTCTTCGACGTCTTCGAATTATTCCATTAAACATCATTGAACCATTAAATGGATTTAAATGGATTAAAATGGATGATCATAACGCCACTACACAATCCCAATAGTACAGAATAAATCACAATAAATCACAATAAATCACAATAAATCACAATAAATCACAATAAATCATAATAAATCACAATAAATCATAATAAATCACAATAACACATAATAAATCATAATCATATCCCAATCAGATCCATGAGTCTTGATGGTTCTGCGATCGAAGATGGTACCGCTTCGCATCCTGAGAGGTCGACTCGCGGAGGATCTTGCACTGCGCAGCGCAGTCTGCGGCTTAGGAGTTGCACGTGCGGCTTCTGGGGAGGAGGGCGTTGTTTACGGTTATTTGATGTTATTTGATTATTTACAATTGAGGGACATTAGATTAGACGGTTTTTTTGGTTAATCTTAAGGGACATTATACTGGTGATTATTTTTTGTGCCAAATTCCAGAAACTATTTTCGAAGTGGACCTGGTGCAATGCTGAGGCCGCCGATTCAGGCGCACTGAAGATGTCCACTGGTCACTGCAAGGGCTCTACCTGAAGCATAGAGGAGCTAGGTAAAATTGCTCTTGAATATCCATGAATGCTATTTTAGACTATTTGGCTTGTGAGCAGGTAATTCATTCTCGGAATGGCTGGGCTGGGCCGAGCTGTTCAAGAGCCTGTGCGAGGCTTGTCAATGCTGAATACTGTTGCTCTGCGATGTTCTGCGGATTCTTTGGCATGTCAAATACGTCAACATATTTTCCGGCTCTAGGTTTGCAGGGGTCTCCTACAAGATAGAAGAAACATGACAAGCAAATCGTCAAGTCAAAATAGTAGGGATTGACTCTTCTCTTTTTGGGGACCCCCGGTAAAAACCCTCGAATCGGATGGGGGAGACCCGGTGCTGTCGCTGCAGGCCTCCCTTGTGAGCGATGAAGATGAGGAAGGACAGAGGGGTGAGAAACATCTTTGGCCCGGAGCTTCGCTCGCGACGCACCGAGTCCAGGACCAGATGCACGAAACGCAGCGGTGAAATTCCATCAGGCCACAATTTGGTGGATGGGTCACTAAGGTCAATAGCAAAAAGATACGCAGTAATACTCCATGTAATACCCAGCTATTGGGGGATGACGTTTAATTGCCAGCATCTGCCAGTTATTTCCAGCTATTTTGATGTGATCTGCAAATGCTGTTGACAGTTTCGCCCTGAGAGGCGGTGTCGTGGCTGATGCATGGCTTCAAGCGGCCAGTTATGCCCAGGACAGGTGTTCGGCCTTTGCTGTTCACCTCCAAGACTCGAATGGCCTTCAGGAGAAACCGGCTTCCCATAGGAAGCAACATGAAGCAACATTCTTTTTACATTCTTTTTACATTCTTTTTTCCGGGAAGTTTTAATCTGCTTGGGCATATTTTCGGCAATGCCAGGGCTTTGTTGGCTTTCCGTTTGCTGGCGCCTCAAGACCCGCAGTTCGGAGTGGCGTCACCTGGGAGTTCTTCCTTTTCTTCCTTTTGAGTCACCTGGGATAGATGTGAAGAGGGAAGAGCAATGCATGGTGCGATGCAAAGAATGTGATGGAGATACAAAACCGATTTTTGGCCCAGCAGATTGATCCAAGGATCATTTTTGTTTGGTTCTTGAAAGTGGTCACGGTCAGGAAATGTCAGGAATCAGTTTGGGATTCAGCTGGAAGCCAGAAAGAGGATGGTCAGCGATCGTTCCCGAGGTGGTCGCTTCAATTCTTGCGGGTCCCATTGGACCTATCACAGGTGGGGGTGCTATCACAGGGCCTGTAGTGGTCCGGGATGCCATTTTATGAATCTAGCTTTCAGTGCTGCTGTTCATGACAGAGGAAACGAGATGCAGCTTCCTTTCCCTCACTGGATTAGGATGAAAAGAGCCAGCTGATGTCCTCTCTCTTTGAAGATGGCGAAGCTTGTCCTTTATCGCGTGAACCTCGACGGGTAGACGCTGCAGAATTTGGAGAGAGAAGGAACTTCCCAATGATTTGAGTCTCACGTGGCATGTGGCCTACATGAGCTGACTGCAACGAAGGAGCTCCACGCATTTCTGGTTCTTCCCCCTTAGTCGCTTAGAAGTGCCCCTTAGTCATATTAGTCATACTGCGATGGCAACCTTCCTGTTTTGGAGCTCAAACTGTATTCACAAACTGCAAGCCATGGTACTACCTATCAAGAGCCATCAAGGAACATCAGCTCCAGCAGAGATCAGCATGCGTTGTGCCAATGTACCTTTGAGGTCTCTGGTGTCCGACTGCGAAGCTCATTACAGCAAGTTGTCCTTGGCCAAAGGGGAGAGGTGAAAGCGGCAGCGTTTGAAAGGAACTGAGAGGTGAACGTGGGAGGAACATGGATGAGTTAGACTTGTAGAAGATCTAATTATGATATCTGTCGCAAATTTCAAACATTGAAGGATACCCATGCAATGTTTCACTGCCAGGTGGTTGCATCCCAGGGGTAGTCGAATTGAGCAGGGTCATGTCCTGGTCACGATCTTAGGGTAACTTGGACAGTTCAGTTGAAAAACATGGCATGACAGACGACTTCAGCAAGTTCTCGGATAATCTTTGAAGTGGTGAAGCAAGAACTGAATCGCTTAAATGCTGGAATCATTCCGATTCTATCCGATTCTTGCATAGTGATGTCAGCTTGTAGACTTCAACCATCTTCAACCATTCAGAATTTTACTTGCTGAATTCCTTTAGGTCGATGTTGACAGCAGCATCGACTTTGGGCTTCGATTGAAGCCTTGGAGTCGCCTTGGTCAAACTGATCCAAGTGGCGCAATAGAGGCCAAGTGACGCCACGACTCTCTAGCAGCTAAGGTCATGGGATTTATGGGATTTAACATTGGACTTAGCAAGCAAAGACCAAGGACACAAAAATATCCAAAAGGATTCCATAAGGAAACCATAAGGATAGCCTTTGAATGCCTTTGGCATCCTTTCGCCAGGTTCCTCCATCCTTCGGTTCCAGGCGCGGAGACCACGAATCGCAGATTTTGAATCGCTGGTGACTCGCGCGACTCGCAGGTCTCGACGAGTTTTCTACCCGCTGTCATGTGAGACACCGAGACCATTCCACCTGCAGCCAGGGACTGAGGGACAGCCTTTGCAAAGGCCCAGATCTTCATACGACTTATCTATATTTTTTTCCTTTCAGTCTAGAATCTCTTGTAGACATATTTGGATTTCTGCATATTTCTGCCATTTGAGGCTCTACTTGGACATTGATGCGGTGGGTAAAGGCGCCTTTGCTTCTGGCTCCACATGCATCAAGGACCAGGAGTTGCACAGGCGATAGCGCACCCATTATTTTTCTTTGGAGGGATGGATCAAATCTTACGGAATTTTTGGATATTTGAAGAAAAAGATTGAAATATCCATAAATCCCAGCTGTTTGGGGCTTCACCAGGGGTAACCGGGTACCAGGCTTTTGAGAAAGATAGCCACAATTTTGGATGAACGCCTGCTATCTTTGAGAACCAAAGTGCCAGGTTTTTGATCCCATAGCCAATTGAAAGCTCGGAAGACACAATTTTTTTCTGAACTTGTGTGAATTTGGAGGACATTTGGAGGACAAATATATATATATATATATATGTATATGTATATATATATATGTATAATAGGAAAAGAATCAGGTGTCTTCGCAAGACTGGAACCGCAAAAGAGGCTATTTAGTGTGATGTTCCAGACGCATAGGGTCGTGAAACCTGCTGGGGGAATGACTGGATGACCCCACCCTTCCAAAAAATTGCACAGTTCCTGTTCAACAAGGAAGTCCAACGACGTGAGACGACGCATTGAGTGGGTCCAGAGTTGCAATGAGGGTTCTTGTTGGAAGCTACCCAATTGACATCCTATCTACTGACCGGAACTTTGGTTCTGGGGACCATCTATTCCTGAGTCCTGACGGTTCCCAGGAAGCTTTCGACATGAGAAGTGGAAATTGGGGGCGTAGAAGCTGCAATCACCTGAGCCAAAAAAATACCCTGGTTAATCGATTTTTGTACGGAGTTATACTACCTGGGTTATTGGGTGTTATACTATACGTATGACATCTTATAACATATAACCAAATTATAAGTCATAGCAGGGAAATCTATCAACCAACCAGTGTAATCTTAATGGCTCACCTGAATCTCCAAAAAAAAGCGTCCTTCTTGATCTCTTCATGGATGTGTTACCCCCCCTTTGACCCCCGCCCCTTCTCCGGGCATGTTGGGAAAGATTGCTTGGTTGACACTCATTTTGGCAGGGTTGATTCAAGGAGCCAAAACACAATTTGCACATAAGATCCCATTATTATTTTTTGTCGTATTCTATTGCAGCTCACTGAAGCCGCAACTGAGCCCTTACTTTTTTTCTTAGACTCTTAGACATTCCTCTTCCTCTTTTCTGCCTTGACCACCACAACGGAAAGCTACAAAGGGCTTACTAAGGCCTTAGCACCTACTTCACACACATGTGAGTAATTACGGGGGGGTCAAGGGGAGGAGGGGGTTGGATCTCCGTCTTTGATGGGTCCTTGTGCAGCTTGCAGGCTAGTCAACATGATCCCAGTGGGGCAGCTGCTGGAGTTGCACTTGGACTGGACTTGATGAGAGGATGGCCCAATTGTGACTGATGACTACCAGAACGCCCGGTACTACGATTTCCGTGGGCACACCTGGCCATAAGGAGATGATGATTTTTGACACTGAATCTGCAAACTTCTGGGTGCCCACCAAATTCCTATCTCAGAAGAACATCTACGATCACTAAGCCCTCGACCTACAAGAAGGGCACCGGAGGGCACCTTTGCCATTCAGTATGTATCTCGTCCTGTGTTTGGTGCTTTCTCGACACTGTGACCATTGGTGACTTGAAGGTGCAGGGCTACACCTTTGTAGGGGTTGAAAAGACGTTGGGTTTCGGATATCCTGGCAAGTTCAACGGCATCCTCAGGCTGGGATGCAACACCCATGAATGCCTTGGTGAAACCTGGCCAGTTGCCTGAGCCAGTCTTTGAATTCTTGGGCAACAATCAAGTAGCATCAAGTAGCCAGGTGAGTTGGTCTTTGGAGCTGTTGACCCCAAGCACTACACCAGAAGCTTCTCCTTCGTTCCTTGAGCTCTGAGTCCTACTGAGAGATCAACTCGGAAGGCGTAAAGCTGGGATCAGAGCACCCTCAGAAGCTGGGTAAGCTAACGCAGCAAGACAGCAAGCTACGTCACGTCAAGACTTCCAGAGCCATCCAGAGCCATGAGATCACCAGATCAACTTCCGCAACTTCCGGAAGCTGAAGGGACGGTCACAAAGATCCGACTCGCAGATCGCAGACCTCTGGGAGCAAGTCGATCTCCTGGCCAGTTTGCGTAATCCGTATATGTATAGCCTGTATAGCGGATTGAACAGCACAGTGCATTCATGCTGAGCCGGACAGTTTGACTATTGCACCCTGAGAGCTGCCAGGACCTGGGTCATAGTCATAATCAGTTATCATAGTTATCATAGTTAGCCATAGGAAGGTGGAAGAAGATGAAGAAGCAGCCAGAGAGGATTTTCAGGCAAACAATTGCTACCTCCACACTCGCTGCTGATTTTTGCCAGGAGTTGTTTTGCACGTTGATGGACACTGCGTGAATGTACATGATTGAGGTCACGTCCTTCTGCATTCTCCTTGGGATTTTCAACAATTTTACAGCCATTTTCCACGATTTTTCAACCATTTTCAACACTGTTCAATCAGTTTTAAGCATCAGTTTCAGCAATTTTCAACCAATTCCATCTCCAAAATCTCCGCATTTGTTGGTGAAGAGGGACCTGCTTGGAGCAGTGTTCAGAAGGGCTCAAGCTTGGAGCAGTGCCCGGAGCCATGGCGGGACTTGGAATCCCAGTGCCTTGGTGGTGTCCATGGGGTTTCTTCATGGTGCCCTAAGTTTTTTAAAATGAGCCAATGATTCACAATCCTATAATATAAGTATATGAAAGCTAAACCTACTATAGACATCTACAGACTATAGTGGTATAGTAAAAAATAGATAGAACTTGCTAGAACTAAATGAGGTGAAAAAAGATGCCATTGTTCCGAGGTAAAGCTCCTGCATGAAGGCATTGGCCACACGGTGACTTGTGAGTTGAAGACCGGTCCGAAGCTCATGGGCCACCAGTCATGTGTCAGTTGGACACTTCACCTTTCCTCAAGGCCTCAAGGGTCATGGTCTTTCACTGATTTGTGAGTGTGAGGCGAGATGTATCGTGGTCACTTGATGAACTGTGAGGACGGCGGCGGGTTTCTTCTTTGTTTAGTTAGCTTAAAATCATTTAAAATCAGAGGAGGTACCTGGCAGCTGTATAGTTCCATGTCACTGGCTGTTTCTTTTCATGCGTTTGTTTCTCTTCTCGCGATGGATGTTCAACTCCCACCCCTGCCCGAAAAAACACCACGCAGCAATCTGGGAAGTGTTCCATCTGGCCACCAGACAAGACTTGATCATTCAAACATCTGTTGAGCGAGGACAACATGAATGCAATGTTGGAGGGTGTCACAGTGACTGGTCGAGATGGCAAGGTTGGGAACCGGTCACTCACGCTTTGACGCATGTGTTGGAACATGTATATAAGATTATATAAGTATATATATATACATACATACATACATGTGTGAGTTTGACCTGTCTAATGTATATTTTGTATAGCCAAGTGATCACATGCCCCGTTGACATTTGGCTTTAGGGCCCTTGAGTCATACCGCGCTGCCGTGGTAAAAGTTGGGCATTTGACGATCCCGTTTCCAATTCATATTGGTAGCGGAGCAGGTGACGACCTGCATCCGGTGGTACGTCAGTGACCCAGGGAACCCTTTGTGAATTTGAGTCTGGTAACTTTGGGAATCAACTGAACTTCGAGTGTGTCGTGGTTCGGGAATCTGTCTGACCCTGACCAGGGCAGACACTTGTTAACGTTTTTCCTTGTTCGACTCCGAACGGAGCGAGCATCATGTCGATCAATGGCCTTCGTTTCAATCAGGAACGCCATTCGTCGGCACCACTTGAGACGAAGAGTGGATCATACATCTATGCAGGTGATGCGGCGAACTTTCATGATTGGCAGTTCAGGACTCTCCTTCGGATTCGTCTTTATGAGCAACAATTGGAGGAGGAGACAAGTAAGCCTGCGGATCCCGTTGGGACCACAGCAACAGAGCCTGCCGCAGAAGATGCAGATGAGTATGCTACTTTTCCAGATTTGTCGGGTGCTACTCAAGCAGCCCAGCCTACATCAGCAGTCTCGACTCCGAAGTCTGGAGCGAGCCGAAAATCCTCGAAGTCCGGCAAGCAGAAGACAGACATTGATCGTGGACCATTGGTTAACAAGGTGATTGAAGGACTGAGAGGAGATGCTTTCTCAATAGCTAGGGATCTTGGACTTGAAGTGTTGTCCAAACCTGGTGGCCTTGTGAAACTTGTGGGTGAGATCAAATCCCATGTGTTTCCAAGAGCCCGTGAGGAAGCCAAGGAATTATTTCGAGCAGGACAGAAGCAAGGTGGTCCTTTGTCTCGCCAACCAGGCGAACCCATGCTTTCCTATGTTCAGAGGAGACGACGTTGGTGGCACATGCTATGCGAGTTGGATGACACAATGGTGTTTTCGGACAGCTTGAGGACAGAGTTGATGTTGGAGTTGAGTGGGCTCAATCGACAGGAGATCCTCGTTGTGAAGGCCTGTGCAGACACTAAGGATTTTGAAGGTGTTGGCAAGGTGCTGATCGAGAACTACAGTGGCACTCACTTGCGAGAAGGGTCACGATCCTGGACAGGACGTGGTAATCCTCAACAGCATGGCAAGTCGTCAGGCAAGGGTTATGGCAAAGGCAAACCTTCTTCGAAGGGATCGTATTCCCAAGCAGCCTATGCAGCCTACCCCGATGATGGGGAGGAACATGCAGAATCTTGGGATGAAGCTGCGGATCAATCCTGGGAGGATGATTCATATGTTGGCATGCTTGGTGACATTGCAGAAGAGGAGCCAGGAAACCTAGAAGGTGACAACGAATTTGATTACTTTGACGACGTCGATGAGTACGAAGCAGTTGCATTGAACAGCTTGCTTGAAGTTGAAGGTGCAGAAGACGATCGACAAGCAGGAGACGCCATCCAGCTACAACTTGCTGCTTTCACCGCAATGGGGAAAGCAGGTGGCAAGGGCAAATCCTTCGGGAAGCCCAAAGGAAAGGGGAAAGGAAAGATCGTGAAGTCCAACCTCACGATCGATCAGAGGAGACGGAAGCTCACAGAGCTGAAGTCGAAGAGCAAATGTTTGAGATGCGGAGTCATAGGGCACTGGGCCGGTGACCCGGAATGTAAATTCCCGGGGTCGAAAGCCGGAGCCCCTGGAAAGTCAGCCCCAAAGCCCGCAGCTCACTTTGCCGACATGAGCGATTCTTCAGATGACGATGGTGTGACTCTGACAGCTTCACCTGATCGTGACAGAGATGGAGTTGCTATGATGGCAGTTCGACAAGCGAAGCCCAGCAGTCGACCTTCACGTGCAGCAGCATCCAGCAGCAACGTTGGCTTGATTTCCCGGGATCTCGATGTTACAATGAGACCCGAGGACCATGGGTGCATCTTTCCTGTTGGACAGTTCAAGGGTTTGTCTTTTTGGAATGTGTTGTTTGAACAGACAGGGTACTATCATCATGCCAAGAAACATACCCCCAAGAGTCCATACTATGTCACATGGTTGAATTGGGTTGACAAATACTTTGTGGTTGGTGCTGATGGGATTCACTTGCGCGAAGTCCCTGTTGAGCATGTCGAGCACCGAGATTTGTTGGTGGCTCGGGGAACTGGCAGAAAGAAACCCCCAAATCCTCCTTTGCCGAACAAGTGTCAGGAATGTCGTGAGTTTACAAAACAAGGTTCTACGGGGTACACCATCAGGAAGACCTGTCTTGTGTGCGGTCATTCCGAAACAACAAGACGTGACATGGTACCGTTGATGTCCCCTGAAAATTGCCCTCATGATGACACAGATTTTCGGGGATCCAGCAAATCAACACACCGTACTTTCTGCAAGAAGTGTTGCACGTTCATTGATGAAGCTCCTATGCAGATTCGTAAGGAGCGTGTTGCAATTGCCAAGAAGGTTGAAACAGCATCAGTTCGAACAGTCCCCATCGTTGAATCATTGGTTGAAGAATCGGATGGATTGAATCCAGTCCAGTTGGAAGAGTTGTTGCCCTTGTTTGCCACGCTCGTTACCGAAACCTGCCAATCTGAGGTGATGACCCGTGCACGACTTCATGAACTACTGCATCAAGCCATCAATGACGTGACAGAGGAAGAGGACAGTTTTTCACTTGTCAATGAAGATGGGCACGGCGACCCCTCGGGCAGGGAGTTAGCTGGGTACGTTGGCATTTGTTTGCATGGAAGTGACACTCAATACCCTCAAGACTTGGTTTACATGAACTATGAAACTGTTGACATTGCCAAGTCACCCCATGTTTTTGCAGTATTGGATGAAGGTTGCAACAGCACTTGTCATAGCAAAGCCTGGGCAGTCGATGCAGAAGCACGACTGGCCCGATTAGGTTACAACATGCCATTGAAGGATGACGGTTGTAAGAGTTTTGCTGGTCTGGGAAGTGGTAGTACCAAGACCGAAGGTGTGAGATCTATTCCTTTTTCGCTGCTGCTTCCAGACGGGAACATGAATGGGGAGTTGGATTCATATCAATTGTCAACAGGCAATAGCCCATTGCTTCTTTCATTGCATGCGCAAACCAAGTTAGGCCTAGTGAAGGACCTAGCAAAAGGGGTGATTTCCATCAAAGATCAACCATTGAATATCAAGAGATGTTCCAAATCAGGTTTACTTGTGATGAACTTGACTGAAGGATTGACCAACATCAACAACACACCGTCGGATGAACTTCCCCAAATCCCGAAGTGTCACAGAAAGTACAATATCGCATACACAGCATCCACATCGGAAGTTGCCATGGCTGACCATGACATGTGTGGTTTTCATTCGAGGGACTATGACATCTTGCAGACGAAGCTGAACGAAGAGCTGCGCAGTGACAGAAAGGTGGTCATCATGACTCGTGGACGCAGATTTCAACAACATGCATGCAGATCTAGCAGGAACACTTTGAGCATCAACTGTGAAGACATTTATGATCCTGATCAGGACATAAATCTTAGATCTCATGTGGGTTGGCATCATGGAATCCTTGAGACTATGAGCAAGGTCGACAAGTTCATCCAACATCTCAACAACATCCTCCAGTTTGTCACACAACAGGAAGCCGACAGTAAGGTGCTGGTGGATTTGGAATGCAAGTCGAGTCGCCACAGGTCAGTGGGACAGGGATTTGCTGCCTACAGGTGTCTCAAAGTCCTTGGTTATGACGTTGTTCTCATTCATGCATCATCTTGGATGTGGGGAGAGATGCGTTGTGGTGGAGTTTGTCATGGATGTAAGGACATGGCTGCGAGCTTGGGACAAATTCGACATTTGATCCCGAACATGTCAAGGTTGGCACGATCACGAGGCAATGTGGCTTCAAGCCGTGACGTGCGCGATGCTCCAGCCGATGATGTTTCAGGTGGACATTCATCTCATCCTACATCAGATCACCCCACTGCAGGACATCCTACATCAGATCAACTTGATGAGATTCGACGTTTGGTACAAGGGCTTGCAACAGATGTTGGACATCTTAGGACAGAACAGGTTGAGATCAAAAGGATGGCCGAGACCGGAAGGAGATCAAGGAGTCCATTGCGTCGACGGAGATTGCCGACGCCACCGTCGCCACCAGCAAGGCGCAGAAGATCACCAAGTTTTCGTCGCAAGTTACCTCCTTGGAGACATGCACAAGCATCCAGGGGAAGAAGTCCATCGCCGAGGCCACTATCTGCGAGGCCAGCTCCTAGGAGCCCAGACCATCCTCCACCGCACATTTCGGACGTGCCAGGGACCGATGACGGATCCCGATCTTCAGGGGCCATGGATGGACCTCGGACTTCAACGTTGCCACAACGATCTCGAGAGCCTCCCAATGATCGCGATGAGCTTGAGCGACTGATCCGAAACAATTTGGCATCAGATGGACCGTTTGACAACAAGAACGTGTCAGTGAAGACATTGGATGGCGAGCTCCTTAGCGAAGTTGTGTCTTTTTGCATCCGTGAGGGTAACAGGGATCGGCTCTTTTGGATTTGCAAAGATGGAGAAGACCCACTGGTGGACGGAGTTCGCATGAACGTCCTGATTCGAGATCATATCCGGCCAAATCGGATTGTCAAGGTCTCGAATGGCATCAAGCACTGGAAGCGATCTACATGGTGTCGACCTCGCAATGGAGGCGACTGGGAACTCATTGAAGACAACGTTGATAGCAGGGCAACAGTGCGTTTGAGCAATTCGTGGATCGATGTGATTGTGTTTCACCACCCACCTGGGGTGTTCGATGACTCCGGGAGGGGAGCATACATGAGCGTTCGTGTCAGGTTGACCCCCAACAAGAAAATACGGGATATAAGGGATGATTTTGAAAAGTCTTTGAATCCAAAAGTTGAGATGAAATCCTCAGAACCCAAAAGAATGTATGCAGTGAAGTCGAAGCCCCAGCCAAAGGTCTTGACGCCCAAGTTGGAACAAGATGATTCCGATTCTTATGAATATGACTATGAGTATTCTCCCACTGGTTTCATGGCTGTGCGTTTTGATTCCAACGTTGATTTGACAGTCCATCCTGATGAGAGGAGGACTATGAGCAAGAAACACAGGAAGATGGTATTGGAAGGTATCAACAATCTCAACAACCATGATCGTGTGATGCAATCCAGTCTTGGGATGCAGCCTCAAGTTTCCAATGGTACTTCAGGGGTTGCAGTCATCACGTCGCATCCGACCCTTTTCCAGGATCTTTTCGAGCACACCTATGACGTTGGCGTGAATGCCGCGTATTTGGACTGTGATGCTGAGCCACGTGGTTGGAGTGACATGTTCGAGGGTTGCACATTGATCATTGTTGCAATTGAGTACAAGTCAGAACATTATCCACTGTGTCATGGGGATCTTGTATTTGAGTTGGAACAGTATTGTGATGCCACAGGGTGTAGGTTTCTCATTGTTGATGTTGCGCACACTGAACGATGGGAATCATTCAAAACACCACAGATTCCATATATCAACGAAGTTGGTCTTGCTTTTGTGTCAAATGATGATGAACTCATTCAAGGTTTTCAAGACTGGTCTATGTATCGACAATTGGATGACGTTTTGAATTGGGAGTTTTGTCAATGGATTCGTGATTGGTCACTTGAGCGTGAACTGGAGGATCAGATGAGCGTTGCTTTCCCAGCAGAGATCATTGAAGAGGCTCAGGAACATGGTGGGAACTGGGATGCAGTCGATGGCCCAGAAGATGTTGCATTGCAGGATCCAGTTGAGGACCTGACACATGAAGAGACCCTTTTGGATGATGTTGATATCCCTGGGTTGCCAGAGGATGAAACAGAAAGGCGTAGGTCTTGGCGCAAACTTCCCCAGCGTGTCAGGATTGCTGTGCGTAGGTTGCACAGGGCTTTTGGACATGTCCCCAAGACGGTGATGGTCAATTTGGTGCGTGCTGCAAAGGTGAGTAAGGAGTTTGTTGATGCAGTGAAGTTGCATAGATGTGAAACATGTGAGAAAACATCAGCAAAGAAACCCACTCACAAAGTTACGCTTCCAAGTGATTATACATTCAACCATACTTTGGGGATTGATGTACTGGAGTTGACAGATATAACTGGGCAGAAGTATCAAGTTCTCAACATGGTTTGTATTGGCACTTGTTTTCAACAGGCTGAAGTTGTGAAGGTTGGAGCAGGTCAAGCTTCTTCGCGATCCTGTTTGGACGCACTCATCAAACGTTGGTTCAGTTGGGCAGGACATCCTGTTGCTATCATGTGTGACCGTGGTTTGCACAATCGTGGTGTCTTACAACAATACATGGATGAACATAACATTCAAGTGCACCATGTGCCCCTTGAGAGCCCGGAATCATTGGGCCGAGTAGAGAGGCATGGTGGTTTGTTGAAGGCTCTTTTCAGGCGAGTGTGTACAGAAGTTGGGGCTTGTACCAAAGAACAGGTTGAGTCGTGCATCACACAGGTGCTCAGTGTGAAGAACGACTCTGCACGTGTTGGAGGTTTTTCTCCATCTCAGTGGGTGCTTGGTCGAGCTCCCCGTGGTGTAGCTTCACTCATGTCTGAGGAAGACCATGCACAGCTCGGAGCCATTCAGGCCCGACATGATCCTTCATCAATTTTTGCATTACAACATTTGGCCAGGATTGAGGCACAAAAGGCATTTGTTCATCTTGATTGTTCAAGAAGAGTTCAGAGAGCGTTGACACGCAATGCCAGTGTGTTTGACCGTGAGTTCAACATTGGTGATCTCGTCACTTTCAGACGAGACAATCAGCGAGGAGGAACGTCCTGGTCACCAACATGTCGTGTGATCGGACACAAGAACCAGAAGAACATATGGTTACTATGTGGTAACGTTCCGGTACTTGTAGCTTCTCACAACATACGCATTGCTTCTCCTTCCGAAGCTCTTGCTCAATCAGTGTTGAATGGTGAACCTGTGATTCCATACAAGATCATCAATGATACAGGTCAACAAGCGTTTCTTGATGCAAGACAATCAGATGAGGTTGAGGTTGTTCGTGATGGTCCAGGACAATCAGATGATGTTGAAGTTGTCCATGAGGACAATGTGGATTCAGCACTCCCTCCTATACCAGAAGTATCTGAAGATGAATGGGACATACGACCCGGTTTCTTTGAAGAAGGTGAAGAGGAGGAAGACACTGGTCCTATGGAAGAAGACATCTTTTCACAGAGTAGAACCCCAGAAAGAAGAGTTGAAAGACCACATCCAGGAGATGGAGGTCATGAACGGAATGTGAGACCTCGAGTAGAGTCTCAGCTACAACCTGAGTCGGAGAGAGGCTCATCACTTGTGCCATCTCGGAGAGACTCATTTGTGCCTGATCTTACTCCAAGTGGCTCCGTTTCGGGGGCGCCACCTTTTAGTGGTTCCGTTTCAGGTGCATTAGCTTCATCGTCAGCGTCATCTTGGCCATTGCGAAGGGAACTTTTGAATGACTTACCACATCAATTGCGAACACATCTTGAAAGAGCTCGTGAGAGAGACTCAGAACGAAGTCCTGAAGAACAACAAGAAGCACGAGCATTGTTTGCATCATTTCTGTCCCAGGAAGTTGGAGTTCCTGAGGACGAAGAGCAAGGTAAGAAAGTGTTGAAATCAATCCACTATGAATCAGCGTCACCTGATGTACAGAAGAACATCATGGATGCCAGAACCAAGGAGTGGAGCAAGTTCCTTGAGTTCGCTGCTGTTGTTGAAATTTCAAAAGAAGATGCTGAGAGGTTGATTGCTGAAGGACATCAATGTATTCCTAGCAAGTGGGTTGATGTCGACAAGAATCAGTTTATGAAAGGAAGATCAGATCAAGAATATGTGCCAAAGTTCAAGAGCCGGTTGGTATCATGCGGCAATTTCGAAGTCAGTGAAGGTTTGAGATCAGACAGTCCTACAGCAGATACGGAAGCTCACAACATTCTTTGCTGTTGGGCGGCGATCCAGGGCGCACAATTGCACAGTGCGGACGTCGCATCCGCATATTTCCAAGGTCGTCCTCTTGATAGAGTTCTCATTATGAGACAACCCCGAGGAGGTCTCCCGGGAGTTGATCCAGAGGTGTTTTTCCTTGTGCGGGTGCCTATATATGGATTGACTGACAGCGGTCGAGGTTTTTGGTTGAGGTTGGACGGAGATGCCCGATCCAGCGGCTTGAAACAATCCAAGTTTTACCCAGGATTGTATTTCCTTCCAGGAACCGACAAAGATTGCGTTGCACTTATGGCGACACATGTGGATGACATCTTGTACGCATACATTCCTGAAGGGAAGTCAGTGATCGACAGCTTCTTGGAGAAGTTCAACTTGGGATCTAGTGAATCAAATTCGTTTCGCTATTGTGGCAAGCAATTTGAGCGTACTGCAGATGGAACAATCACACAAGACACTTGTGACAACACCCGTCGCATCAAGCCGATCAAGATCGCGCCAGGAAGATCAGCGTCCGAGCCGTTGGGTAAGGATGATGTGACCCGATTATGATCTGTAACGGGATCATTGGCATGGGTGGCAAGGCAGACTAGACCCGATTTGGGTTATCGTGTGAGCCGCCTACAGTCCAGTATTTCTGGAGCGACAGTTGCTATTTTGCACGACGCAAATGCCGTAGTACAGCTGGCACAACAAGGCATTGAGAACAAGCTCATTTTTCCAGGTGGACATCTAACCTGGGGAGAGGTTGGTATCATTACAGTGACAGATGCTTCATTTTCAAACGAGAAGAACTACAAATCACAACAAGGACGTTTCCATTTTCTTGGAGACATCAATGAGATCAAAGACCCCAAGACTACATCCTACAGGGTGATGCCATTGGGATTTGCATCAAATACAATTCGGCGAGTATGCCGCAGCACTCTTCAATGCGAAGCTTATTCACTGCAGGCTGGACAAGAGAGCGGTGACAAGCTACGTGGAGCATTGGCCGAACTGATGGGCCAACTTGACTCGATGAAAACATGGTTGGATGACAGCCGCAGCTGTATTCCACAACTGATGCTTTCAGACTGCAGGTCTCTAACAGACCATCTTGCGAATGAGGTACTCGGCAGGGTCGCAGACAAACGACTCGGCATTGAGTTGCAGTCGATTCATGAGTCACTTTGGCAAGACGGCCGGAGGACCTGGGATATGCATCATGGCGGAGGAGACATTGTTACCTGGATTGCTACAGGGACTATGGTCTCGGATGCTCTGACCAAGAGCATGCGCCCGGACCTCATTATCCGCGTCTTGAAGGAGTGCATTTACCGTGTACAGAAGAAGCCTTAGAGCCAACTTTTTCACTAGCATCATGTGATCCTTGAAGAACAGGTTGAGTGTGAGTTTGACCTGTCTAATGTATATTTTGTATAGCCAAGTGATCACATGCCCCGTTGACATTTGGCTTTAGGGCCCTTGAGTCATACCGCGCTGCCGTGGTAAAAGTTGGGCATTTGACGATCCCGTTTCCAATTCATACATGTATATATTAAGATTACAAGAACAGTGTTGTCATATCAGACTGCACTACCAAAACATGGGCAGCCGCAGCATACCTTTCGAGCGATACTGTTCTATATAGTCCATATTCTAGAATCAATACCTGCAAGCGCTTTGTGTTCAAAGACCCGAGCCCGTTTGAAGGTCACCAACCTGGAGCAAGTCTATTTGAGGCAGTCACCGGCATTTTGACAGGTCGTTTCATGGTGCAGTATTTAGCCTTCGACTTGTGGAAGCATTTCAGCATTCGATTTTTGGGATTTGGAAACTTCATAAATCCCATTTGGTGCACCCCAGGGGCTCGCAGATTCGATACTTCATTCTGCCAGAAGCATGGCTACATTGGACGGGGGATCGAAGGGGCTGGAATGACATGAAATGATCACCATGACCCCTTTCAGTGACAACAATTCGAGGATATGCTCCGGCATGCGCCCATGTTCAAGAAGAAGGCCGGCCATCAAAGGATATGAGTTGTCAGTACAGCATGGAATCCAACTTATCTCAAATTCTAGAATGTTCTGCTGTGGACTTACAAATAAGATCCTTGGATGGTATCTTTTGTACTCTTTTGTATTCTTTTGTAGTGGTACCAGTGGTATTGGTATCCTTCACTTGGATTTTTGGAAAAATACAGCCGTCGCATAACCGGAGAACCTGAGGGCCGTGGTGCTGGCCGTGGTGTTTATGGACCCGGTGGCAAGGCACGGGAGATGACCCAAAACCTGGGGGAGAGGTAGACCAAAGGTTGATCAGTAGAAATTGCCATGTTTATTTGGTATGCTGAAAACCCCTAAAATTAGAGTGAAATCCTGCGAAGAAAAAGTGGTAAACTGCTCTTCTATCGTTTCTTTGGGGTTGCAGATCTCCATTTTTCCTCAACGGCCAGGGCCGTGGCAAAGGCTTGGCACAGCGGGCACGAACTGCAGCGGCTGCTACCCGCAAGTGAGGACAGGGGTGCTGAAGAGCATCGTTGGGAGATCCTGGTGGTCCACCTCAGGGTGTCGTAAGTAGGTTATAATGTGTTAGAACCCCAGTTATAAGTGGGATAAGTAGGGTTATTCCAGTTACAAGTGATAAAAACAAAATATAACGAGTTACAACCTACTGACTAATTGGGGTAAATCACGAAGTACATTGATGTGTGTGTGTGAACATAGGGTTGCAGCATTTTATAACAGTTTTGACGGGAAGACTGGACAAATCATGACTGCATTTTTGGGTACCGTAGGGTGCTGTATTCTTGGACAAAGCCGCGCTGATGTCCGCCCTTGTTTTTTTTTTCCATTGGTTGTTTTATCGGGGGCTTCTAGTAAAAGTGATAGCCACTGCCATTGCCTCAAAAAATCATCCAAAGTTTCAAAACTGAGGGCTTAGCCTTGGTCTCATGTTTTTCTTCCCCAGGAAGTGTCATTCCTGGTTTAAGCCTGCAAGACTGCTGATCAAAGGCCTGCATTGGTCGGTATCCAGGATAATTTCGTTGGAGTGTTTCCGACTTTGGATGCCTAGAGTACTCAAGCATGGAGTGGTACTGGTAATGGTGGGTGTCACCGTGTCACCTCCTGCAAAAACCTGAAGGAGGAAACGGTACTTTGCAAGATTGGCAACGTGGAGACATATCTGAAATGGACATTTCTCTCTGTCGAAAATGCAATAACTAGGTCTTGCAGTTTAGCCAAGAAAGGCAAGTGCAAAGCTTTGCCGGTGTGCCAGGCAAATTTTGAAATACTCAAGGTGTGGATTGCTTTTCTGTACCAAGTACCACAGGTATTGACCCATGCTGTTTGGCGCACAGAAGGTAATTATGAGTTTGTGCCGACCCGCGGCACACACGCGACAATGCAGCTGGATCTTGGCGCCCTCAGATAGAAAAGGGTCATCGCCTGATGCATTTTCGATCCAAACCATGCTGTCAGTTGCGCAGGGACGAGAAGCTCACGGACCATGGTTGCCATGGCTTTCTCAAGCGTTCAGCTGATACATTGAAGAGAGCGGGGCATCATGACACAATGTTCACAACATTCAAAAGAAGGCTCCAGACATTTCCAAACAAGTTGGATATGCCAAACCGGTTCGGTTTGAACATGTGCTCCGCAACACAAGATCGATTTGCAAGATAGTGATCCGTTTTGTACTGGCACCTGCCCAAACTATCCCAAACTCGGGTCATGACAAAACCAGAAAAATCAAACGCCTTGGAGGGTGCCGCCATGGACGATGCTGCGGACAGCGTCTTCGCCCAGGTGACACTGACCGCTGCTCCACATGCGAAAAACTGCGAAGTGTTGAGGTTTTCAGAGGAGAAACTGTGGACCTGTGGAGTAGATGGACGGCTGGCCTGTAGCAGCTTTGAAGGTGGGAGAATGTTTGGAATGTTTGGAATGTCTGGAATGTTTGGGATATTGGATGATATTGGGATGATATTGGGATGATATTGGGATGATATTGGGATGATATTGGGATGATATTGGGATGATATTGGGATGTTTGGGAAGGTTCCAGGCCCACCAGGTCTTGAAGTGGGCAGGCGAGACCTTGGGGCGGAACTGGGTGCAACGGATCTCCAAGCTCTCCACGGAGACACCCACGGCAGCCATCTCCTCCGATGGGCGCCTTCTGGCAGTGGCAGAAGACACTGATGCCGGCTTCCAGGTGCGCCATGAAATGCAGCCACTTCCTCCATAGATTCTGTATGTTTTTATTTGATTCTACTCGTATGTTAATTATCCATAATTATCTGGATTGTTGTCTAGATATTAGATATGTTTCTTCAAAGTTTCTTCAGGTGTTTTTCATGTTTCTCTTGATGTCCATTGATATGTGGACGCCTGCAAGATTAGTTCTCCTGCAGCTGCAGTTTTTGTGACAGAAATCACGTGCTCCGTCAATAGGTTTGGGTGCATCAACTGGAGAAGGGCAGAATGAACACATCACAGAAGCCAAGGACATGTCGCAGGGTTGGGACACTGTCCAAGTGTCCTGAGTCAGAAGAAGCCGTTTCATTTATTTGCCAGCCTTATACAGTACGTCCAAAATCCAGGCGTTCCATGCAGAATTTCTAGAAACATTTTGTGAAAGGCTCAATCTGAAGATTGTGGATTTTGCCAATTTTGCTCTCAAAACTTGAGCTCTTTTCGACTTCCCGTGACAGGAATGCTGGTAGATTCACCCTTCCCATCAGCCACCTCTCATGGCATGCGACTTTGCCCTACCTCTGCATCAGCACCGATGACGGAAAGCTGGACGTTTGGTGGGAGACAAAGACCGAAGAGTCAGAGTCCAAAGGCATCAATCCATGAGGATCAATTTACCCGCCATGTACCCCATATACATCCATATACCAGGTTTTGACCATGGCACATCTGCAAAGGTAGGTGTAATTCCTGGAGGGGAAGGTCAGTCTTGCACTCCCCAACCCTCGGTATTGCCATGGCCCGAATAAATCTCAGAGCCAGTTTGGGCAATGAGAAGATCCAATGTGGCAGGGACTGCATCACGGCGTCAACTTCTTAGAGGTGAAACTCATTTGGGAGGTGTGCGTTGCTTGGAAGCGTTCAGATGTGGTGCTTGAGAGGTACAGAACCATGAGAACCACAGCTGCTCGAAGCTCAGGTTGTGCTGCCATTGATCCCCAGCTGGAGCTGCTTGCGGCTGCCTTTACGTGTGGCCAATTGGTGGTTCTGACCTTTCCAGAGGGCGCTGAGAAGCACCGCTCCAATCTCTGGCCAAAAGCGGTGAGCGAAAGCGATAACTTGCGTTTGGCCTGGCAGCCAAATGGCACGGATCCCAGGGAAGATGCTCTGACATCGGTATGGGTCAAGCAATTATTGTATTAATATATTTTTGTATATAAAGCTATGACAACTACCCAACTTATCCAACTTTTAGGTAACTAGTATATTTTTGATCCAGACCGTTTGTGCGATTCAGACCTATGTTGATGATGGTCATGCAAAGCAAAGGCAAAACCACTTTGGCAAGAGACTTTATTCAGCGACATTGCTAGGACAGCGGTTGGCACTACCTGGATCTCCGCCAGCAACTGAGATATCAAAGAAAATGCACGGTTTGTCTGAACCAGAGTTCTCATGGATACGACGTACACACCACATTTTGGACAAACCCACATGTTGTCACCTGTGGTGTTCCCAGATTCCCTGCCTTTCTCCATGACCAGGTCCCTACGACTGCTGCCACGAAACTTTGGCGAAATCGTGGAACTGAAAGGTGGCCATCGCTACTCAACCACCATGGCAGCCTGGCAGGGCTCCCCAGATGTGAAGCATTGCAACATGATGTAAAGCATTGATCCTCATTTGGGTTTGAAAATGAGAGATTACCATCCGAAAACCATCTTGTTTAATGGGAAATTTCGGTTTTAAGCCGCTTAAAGCAGCCTATTTGTGGGTAGCTTTAATTCAGATAAAGCCATCTGGCTTCGGTTTTGATGTCAAGCTCTGGAAGGTCTCCATCCGGAGATGTACTCGCAAGTGCCTCCTTTGAGGCCCAACTCTTCATGTTTTCTGAAGTGTGGACGTTTTATGAACAGTTCCCAAATTCTCAAATCTTAATTGTGCTGATTATGATGTTTCTTGCCCTGATGAGCGCAAAGCCTGGGGAGGCTGTAGCTTTGTGGTCAGACGACTGCTTGCGACGGATCTTCGAATTCAAAGCGGCTCTGCTGCAAATTTCCTGACGAACATGTTCAATAGGATTCAATAGGTGTTAAACGTTTGCGTGAGAGTCTTGTTTGTTTCAGGGAGCGGACGTGAGGCATCAAGAAGGCATCATTCCTTCATTTTGCAGAAGGGCAATGTAGCTGCTCATGATTTCATCCCTTTGAACGCTTCTTGATAGAGTGGGAGCTGCTTGAGATGCAACCAATCCTCAGGCTCAGCCTACGAGCTTTGCGCCGGACACCCAAGATGCAGATTACATCTGACCTTTTTGCGCTTGATAGAGTCCATCCCATCAGCAAGTTTCAAGCTGGTGCGATTCCTGGCTATTCATTAAATGTCATTAAGCCTTCCTTGAAAGAACTTGAAAGCATCATCCAACTCTTAGGTGGAGCGGAAGCTTCCTGGCAGTTGGTGCAGAGGTTCGGAAACATCACCACGTACTCAACTCTGCATATTATGCCCTTAGGAAACGAGTTGCCCGGAAATTCACCTCCCTTGCTTTTTCCTTTGAATCATGAAGCCTTCCCCGCAAATCAAGTTCGGGAGTTCTTCTGTTTACGGTAGAAGAATCTCGACGTACTAGTGATGATAGATGCCATGGGTAGTGCACCTCCTGATCCACACTAGATGACTTCCAACTTCAAATCGTGAGTCACTTCGCAGATCTTGGAAGCTTCACATGGAGTGCCCCATTAATGCTCAATGGCCTTCGGCGACAGGGTGGACACATTGCTCGCTTGTCTGCGACAATCGAGTCATGCAATGAAGCTGAGAAGCCTCAAGAGGAGGCCAGCGATGTGCGTTCATCGCTGTTGGCTTTGAAGAAGTTTTCATGCGAATACCAAAGGACAGTGAAATTTCATGAAAGCTCATGAAAGTCATGGAGTCAGGAATTGATTCAAGGGGAAGTCTACAGGAAACCTTCTATTTCGAGGTAAGGATCACATTCACATTCTTTCCCTATAAATCAATCTGTTGACATAAGCAAACAGAATCCAAATTCCAAAGGCAATTCAAACACATCCAAACATTGATAAACATAAGATGGGCTTTACCACAGCTGCCAGGAAGAATCTGGCAGTGCAGATGCGCCTGTTGACCACCAACAAGCTGAGTCACAGGCTCTTCAGCTCTGTGATGCCTGTCATGCCATTCCATGCAACATGGGTAAAACATGGTACACTGGTACATCATCAGTGTCAAGGTGTTGAGGTGTGATGAAATGTGGAGGGCAATGCTCTTATATTTTTATTATATATTTACTATATATAAATATATATATAGTTTCATTTTAATTTATCACCCATAGGAGTTCACACACATATACAATGCAATGTATATGTTTGTATATGTGCATACGTAATCATACGTATAATATTGTATATATATATTTATACACATACGTAAATACACACACACACATATATATATATATATATACAGATATGCAGTTGTAACTGACGAATCTTCTGAGGGAAGCTTGCCCCAGGCAGACGTCGTGCAAGATGAGCCGCAGGAGCCACTAATCTTCAAGCCAGCGGTTCAAGGGAAGTTTCAGCCAGGTGGCACTCGGCGAGGTCGCCGACGTCTATTGGCCTGGAACGATCACGGATGCCTGAAATTAGTGATTTCTTCCAGCGGCAAACAACGCGTCGTCGAAGTGAAGTACTTCAAATGTCAGGATCCCACCTCGGGGCGAGAGTTGAAGGCTGATGGAGTGGAAATTGGAGCCTTGGGTCCTGGCCTTTGTGCCTTAGCTTCACCTTCACATGTGGTGGTGCACCTAGCCAGTCTTGGGACATTTTGGACCCAGTCCAGCTTCGAACATCACCTGCCTGGTGAGCACATCGAAGCCGTGGCCATCAGCCGTAGCTTTGTGGCAATCTTCGTTGCACCCTTCCGGCTTCTTCGTCTGTTCACGCCATCTTTCATTCCTCTTGGGGTTTTGGCAATGCCTATGGACATTGTCTCTATGGTTGCATGCAACCATCTACTGTTCTGCGTTTTTCAAGCTCGTGCAAAGAGAGACTTGCGATTGCACTTTTCCCTCTTTGACGTGGAGAAGCAAGAAAAACTCTCCAGTGGACGTCTGCCGCTGTCACGGCAGTCCACGCTGCGTTGGATCGGTTTTAGCGCAGATGCGCAGGGACCACAACCCTTGGCGTTGGACTCCGCTGGAATTCTCAGAGCCTTGATCCAGAACGATGAATGGGTGATGTCTGTGACCCCACAGAGTTGGGTGCCAGTGGCAGAACTGGATGGAGATTGCGGCTTGCAAAGCTTCAGAAGATTTTGCTGCGCGATCAGGTTTTGACTCTTTTCTAGTATATGATTGTTCTAGTTGCATCTTGTTGCTAGTTCTCCAGATTGGTTTTAGGCCATTTTAGCCCTTCACATTCAAATTCTTTCAAGCGCTTCAAATATTTGGCCAGGTAAGCTATGGCCTGTGTGGGCAGAAAATGGAGTGCTTCGATGTATGGAGGTTCGCCCGGGAGAGGAGCCAAAAGTAGCTGCCCAAAGGCTAACAACCGTCAACTACAAGCTGCCAGTGAGCCTTGATGGTCTTGATGCTGACAAAGCTTCTGGAGCACTTCTGAAACACTTTCTTTCCTCCAAGAAGATCCAAAGAGATTCCATGGTGCGACTCTTCGAAGAACATGTAAAGCTGAAAGACCAAGAAGTTGCTTTGGACATTGCCAGATGCTATTTGGGCGGCCACAAGTCCATGAAGTCCTTGAAGTCCTTAGTTCAATCTGCTGAGAAGGCAGGACTCAACGACTTGGCGCTGCGATTGGAGGCGCTGACGGATCTGACGGATCTGACGGATCTGGGGACGAAGAAGAGGAAATTGGGGGCTACGACGGCGTAGATGGCCTGGGGACTTTGAGGGTTGATCCAAATGGATCCAAATGGCGGAAGTTGAGGAAAGAAGCTGACGATGAATATGTAATATATATATTAATATATTGTAATATGAAGAATGGATAATAATGGGTCAACACTCCTCATGATGGCTGGTTGTTGGGAACTATGCAGTTGTGCTCCTGCGGCAAGAAGATTTGTCTCTATGTATACTATGTATGACTGTAAATTCCATGAAAATTCATGAAAATTCCAACTAGCCAACCCCAGCCATCGATGGGAGCAACATTCTCAGTCGCCGTCCATTGCTGAACAACCCTCAATTTTTTGGGAGGAGTCGTGCATTTGAATTGGGGCCAGTGCTGACTCCGTGGTTAAAAGGAGCTCTCGTGCAGCTGATTTCAGGACATGCCTTGAGCCAACTGGCTCCTCCAAACTTAGCTTTCCGAAAAGTAGATTGATGATGATCATGATTGATCCTGACCAAACACATCCAAACATACCATTTGAGCTCAGAGAACCACAGAACCAGATTGACCACGTGACTAGCCTGGTGAAAATCTCGCTGTCGACAAAGCCTAGCTGCGGCTCAAAAGATCTGCAGATGTCTCACAGAAACCACAGGACGCAAACTTTTTTTCCCACCCTCACACTTTTCTCAACCCTCAAGCGTGTACAGTCACAACCTGCTTCAGCTGTTTTCTTCCTTGGCAGTTGAGGTAAACCCATCTCCCAGATTCCGTTAGCAAAGTGACCCCCAGGGAGACACACCCGTGGCCATCATGGCGCTCGCTTTGCCGGTTGCGGGTGATATGCCCAAGTGGTGTGAGTCTGAGAGTCCAGCAGTTTAGCCGGGTTTGTCAAATGTGTGGGAATGGGCCATCTTATGGCTCATTTGATCGCCATTTCAATGGGGCAAATGAATGTTCATGATATCATATGATATCAAACAAACATGTTCAAAGAAAGTCAGGTGGCTGGAAGACCTCAAGAAGCAGCCCAAGAGTACCACCGATGCGATCTGTGAAGTGCGAATTATGGGCACTGATGAGGTTCGCTCCAGGGTGCTTTTTATAGTGCCATGATGTGCCATGTCGCCAGCCATGTTTCATGGTTTCAAGAGAGCCGGACTTTCGGAATCTTTCAGACCTATGTCATGTGCTTTTTATAGATGTTCAATGATGTTCATTCATAATGTTGTTATCACTTTGCTCCGTGCTTGGGCCAGATGATGACTTTGCCTGTGAAGCAGAGTACCACAGTGCCTCCCTTAGATTTTTCTTAAGACTTTGACTCAGCCAGTGACAATGGCTGCATTCGCCCACAACAGAAAGGAAAGGCCTTGACTTGACGGACTTGGATCACCACTGTAGATCTAGAAATATCACTAGATCTCACTCGAATCTGCCAATGCACATTATATATATATAATGTAATCACGTAATCACAAATAATCACTTTATATATATATATATCAATTCTTGATTGCTTCCACCGATACTATGGAAATAGGTTCCTGGTGGGCTGGTCTTTGCTTTCGGAATGTCGACTGTAGTAGGCCTGAGAAAATGTGAACAGTGTTGTCTGAATCCCTGCTGCGGAACAGTTTTCCTCAAGGGAATCTCTCAATATGACACCTGGTGTACATCGGATGCATGGGAAGCATCAAAAAGTTGAGTTTATCAACTTATTATTAACGATTATTAAGGATTATTAAGGATTATTAACGATTATTAACGATTGTTAACCATTATTAACCATTATTAACAATTATTAACCATTATTAACAATTATTAACGATTATCAACAATTATTAACCATTATTAACCATTATGAACTCTTAGTAACCATTAGTAATTAACCACTATTGACTCAACTTCAACACCACAGTGTTCTCTTCGCTTTTCGCTGAGGTCTTCGAAGTGAAGTCTTTTGTTGCCATGAAGCCTGGAACCCAGCCGAATTCTGCCGTTCGCAGGCAAGACAGCAGCGTATCGGGTTGAGCACTGGAGGTTGGGCATAGATCCTGGAAATTTGATCATGGTGATGAAGGGAGGCTGCAGCTGGCGTGTGCAAGCAGACTGTGAGGACGTATCAGCTGTGAAACTGATGAAATGACTGAAATGACTGAAACTGTGGGCATCGGCATCAAATGGTGCTACCATCGTTGGGTGGATGAACATCCATGCTCGCAACCACCAGTCATTTTGGCGTATTTTTGGTGTGAAAAGGGTACCACAGTTTTCAGCCAGGATGCAATCAGTAGTTTTGAACATGACACCGAAGGGGTCCCGGTGGCGATGGGAAATTGGAAGGAAGTGGCGCGCAAAGTCTTTCTCAAGGGTATAAAATCCTTCACCCGTGCGAAGCACAAGTGGTCTGAACCTCATACCACCTGACCCTCACTCATTTCAAAACCAATGACTTGTTTCAAGCGCATGGGCATCAGTGCATCAGCTAGTTGAGAAGGTCTGTACAATCTTCGTTCAAACATGTCAGCAACTGGTACTATGAAATACATTGACATACCATATTTGGGTGGGATGAACATCCATAAATCTTAGTTGTTTTGGGGTTCAAGGTAACAGGGTTTTGTCCCATAGCCACTCAGCTTCCAGCTGAGGCCGAATCCCATAGCCATCATTGGAACCGGCCACGCAGGTTTGCGGCAGGTGCAATCACCACAGCTGGGTAAAGATGGACCACCATGACAGATGGGTTGAGGACGAGATGTGACGAGTGCCACAGAGTTTCCGGAGTGATTGGCAGGCCATGTGGTTTCTGAAGCACAAAGAGTACAATTTCGTGGTGTACGACAGAAAGGCCGAGCAGTTTTGAGCTGACAAAGATAGCAGTTCTTGCAAGGGTATACGGAGAATGAACATAATGAACAAAGACAGCTGATTCTTTTACATCCAACATATGTCACAATGTTCTTTGAGTAAGTTAGTAAATGTCACAGTTTTCTTTAGTGAAGATTCAGATTTTGCTGGGACTCCAGGCTCAAGTGGGCGGTACTTCCTGGCTGGATCAGGCAGGTGTTAGAGCTGTAACCAGATGTTTTTTTGTCAGTGACTTTAAGTGTTCCTAAGAAGTGCTTCTGTTGTTGGCCTGCAATGAGCAAAGATGAGCCTATGACAAACACTGCTCCTGTCCCTGGGAACTCGCAGACATTTTCGTAGGCCAACACGACTTCGAAGCTTCAGACTGAGCTTGGAACGTACCATTTGCAGTACGACGAGGAGGGAACGAAACGGAACGAGGGTGACACGATCGCACTTCTGCTCGAGCTTGACAAATTTGACATCATCAATTCAATAGGATCATACAATGGCAGCAGCTTATCGGCTTTATAGATTGAGGTACAGGGAGAACGCCCACCAAATATGAGAATACCTGTTAGAATGGAATGCTCATTTGCCATTCGGAGTGAATTGAAACTTGTTGCAAAGGCATCAGGACAGGCTTCCGTTTCCGCCTCTCCCCCCAAGGCACAGGGACAATCACTGACAGCTGACAGTGCTGCTTTCAGGACAACCCCGTGCCGAAGAACATGAATACTTGGCCCTCCACGGACGAATTGATAAAGCATTTCCAGGAGGTGGCCGAGGAGTATGGCATCATGCCGTGCCCCAGACACCGGAAAACATGGGACATGGGACATGAGGTTCACCAGTGACATCCAGTGACCAGTCACCAGGTACACGAAGATGTGTACCAACGTCCAGGAGATGGTGATCAAATCAGGCACCAGGCAAGAACAGGCGGCTGACACTCGGCTAAGCCACTGGAGCTTCGATTTTTGATCGACCCTGGCTGTTGTGGTGATTTATCATGTTGGGGGTGTACAGACCCTGTTGCAATTGTTGCTAAACGATGTTACCCATCTAAAATACACCTACACCTTCATGAAATTGGATGAACATAGTGACATATATAGAGTGCGTGTGCCTCACCAACCCCACACCTTCATTACTTCGATACGCGAGACTGCTTGACCTTTAGTCACTTTAGTCTTCAAAACTCGAAACATGAGTTGTCCAAGTTGTCCAAGTTGTCCAGGGTTGTCAAGGGATGAGTCACCGGTTTAGCCTTGCGCCTTAGGAGATGTCAGCCAGTGGCCAGAACTGGCTCCAAGCTCAGTCGATGTTTGACAGTCTTGAGATGAGGCAGATCAGGGATGATCAGGGAAACCATTTTCATACATTTTCTCGCTTCGGACAGAACTTCAGCAACTTGAAGACTCCTTACAACTTACAACACTATCTTCAACTTACAACACTTTTGCAACACTTTTGCCATCTGGACACTGCCGGGTTGTCATTTCACACATCCTTGAGGTCCACGCAGACGTATACGCTGACCTTGGAGCCTACAGACGGCACAGGTGATGGCCGAGGTGACAACATTGGAGCTACTGGTGAGCCTTGCTTCAAGGCACCGGCTGTTTCAACAGAACTGTTAGACGGTGATGACCATGGGGCATTTTCTGCTAGGGTTCAATGTTTCAAGAGCTCTAGTGGTGCAACAAGTCACCCTCAGAAAACATCTTTTGGAATTGGACACAAACACACGCCCAGAGCAATGGCAGGACATGGCAGGACAACCAATGACCTGTAAAATGTCTCGTGCGCTAGGTAGACCACTCTGCGGTCATCATGTACCCGGGCAACCTGACCCTGCCGAAACACTACGAGCTCAAGGGCAAGGCAGGTAAATCCTTTTGGACATTGGACAATTGGATGTGCTGGTCAGTTGTGAACCCAAACCCTTTCTCTACCCAAGAGGATTTGGACATATTTGGAGTAAGGCCTTAATTTGAACAAAGATCAAACAAGCGCGTACCAGAATCTCGACAAGAGAACGCTCCCGACCTTAGGTTCATTACACAGGGCTCAGGTTTCAATTATTACTAAAATTTAAGGACTTTTCATGTTTTTCTGGGTTTTTTTGGTGATTCAGTTCAGACTTTTTTGCTTTGCTGCTGCCTGCGAATGGTCACTTGAAAGCTCCAAGAGTCCGTTTGTTGGACATCGATTGATACTCTCTGGCTTACTTGGTCAAGTCTAGCCTATCTCAATTGTGCACCCCAGTTTGGCCCAATGTTTGCCGTGAAAGTGTGAGCCAGGAGAACTTTCAAGGACCAATTTCATATGCCATCATGAACGATTTCGCTTCTGGGCTGCAAAATCTCTGATTGATGAAGGCCAAACAGATTATGTAATACAGAAAGGCCAACATTTTTCTATGAAGGGCAGCTGCAACAAAGTAGAAGTACAAAAGGATCTGTCTGAAACTGTGAGGCTGTTTGTACTTTTTGGCAAGTTGTTGAATCACCGTCCTTTCCAAGGACTACAATGAAACCACTGGGAAGAGAATAGTGCGGACCCCAGTGTACGAGGCTTTCATTCCACAAGCCAGGAAGGCTTTGAGAGTATAATAATATTCACATTTCTTGTTTGCGCTTGTCTTTGGACACACTCTTTCCATGCATATCCAATATCACAAGTGAGCAGTGTGTCTGAACCCCTGTTGATTAATGATTGCAGTATATGAGGTTATACTGTCCAATGCATTGGGGATTATCACAATCCATTCTTGGAAATCCTATAAATTAATCTACCAGTAAAGAAGGGACGACAGACAGAGGGTTTGAAGACTACCCAAGTTGTTTTGGACCTTTTTTTGATGCCAGGGCATCTTGGGTCACGGTGCTTTTGCGGTGGAGAATCTACGAACTTGCCTGGAGTATTCCTCGAAGCAGGCAGGGCCGAGATATGTTGTTTTCATGAAAAAGCAGCTGAGACTCTTTGTTCTCATTGAGACGAACTTGATCAAAGATTTCACAGCCCTAGCCCACACAAAAATGAGGCTTGCTGCCCTTGTGTCCTCCTAGGTGTACATGATTTGCCGGCGCAAGAACCTCTCCTGTCCCAGGGCCGGGTGTCCAAGATGACGCCATTCGTCCTATCGCCATGGTGGTGCAGTGCCTTCCCAAAATTTTGGTGAAGCAAACTGGGCGAAATTTTATGAAGTTTCCTGAGAGAGGGAGGATGCAGAGGCTGCAGAGGATGCAGATGTATCATTCCCTTTGAGATGCGAAGATGAGGTGGTCTCGTGGTTTGTCAAGCCCTTGGGATCAAGCTGTGTGGGTGCTTTCTGTTGTAACGTTGTGACGTTGTGAGGCATGACATTGTTTGAACATGTTTGAACCGTGCTGTGGAGATGCAGTTTGGAAATGTTTGGAAGACGTAGCTATGCCAAGATCAACCAGTCCGTCAATCCACTCAGCGGCTAGGGCCTCAAGAAAATTGTTTGGGGTGCGAGGGACCTTAGTGGTTGGGCCGTGGACTTGCAAGACAGCTCGCATCTTTGCGCCAACCAAGACACTATCCTGCTCAGTGCATGAACAGATCTCCCCCTCATAATGTCAGCAGCACACTGGGTGTAAATCGTACTTGGTCTACAGTCAAATCATCTCAAAGGTAGGTACTTCAAGTGGGTTGATACCTGCATCGTGCGATGTGAACAACAACGCCGACATAAAGGTGGCAAAAGAAGCAGATCAAATTACCTTAATCATCCTTAATCGTCATTAATCAAAGGTCAGTACGTGATGCCTTCTGAACCATTGATCGTCGCTTGGGTTGAAAGGTCCATTGACTATGCGGTCCTTCATGCCTGCGTACAACCTCATTGGCTTTGATCCCTGGGTGCGCCAGCTGATGCCACAGATATTCAATTATTGGACGAGGCAAGGAAGCGAAGGAGCGAAGAAGGAAGAAGGTGAAGATAGGTTTTTGATGGTTTTTGGCATTTCCAAAGCTTTTGGCTTAAGCTGTCAAAAGTTGGCTCACATCGACAGAGCAAGAAATTAGACAGTGGCAGAAGCTGTCATGAACCTATTTCTTTTGCTTTCATTTTACCTTTGTGCAGCAAAGGCTGCAAAGGTGTTATTTTCTACTCAGACTCTGCGTTGTCCCTCTCACCGAACCTAGCAAGACCAAGCAACACAAAGCACTCGGCTCATCCACCGCTTGCAGTAGGATGTTCGTGTAGCTATTATCAGGGTTGCTCTTCCCAATTATATATTGAACGATAGCCACAAGGGAGGTTAATTGATGATTTAAATTAAAACCCTATTTTACCTCTGTATATTTTGCCCCTTTATATCCCTTTATTAGGCCAATTTACCACCCTAGTATTTGGCATGTCGGGAGCAGCCCTGAGTATGCTACCGAAGCTGTGAGAACCCACGTTTCTTAAGGCTTGTTGCCTTGATGGCAGACAAAACGCTAGGAGCGTCGCATTCAAACTATAGCTCTCCACAACCATCCGGGGGGCCTGGCAGCGCCCTGATGTTGGCATTGGTTCCAGAAGATGTTTTGGCAGCGCAGCGGCCTCAAAGATGAGAACTATGAGATGCACAGAGGTTTCTCTTTAGGCTCTTTTGCGATGCAGAAATATGCAGAAACCTGTTGGCGAAGGATTTTGGAAGACTCTGTTGTAATGGTAATTTGATGTAATTTGGCTCAAAGCAAAAAACCGCTCACAATCTCCAATCTCTCGCGCCTGTTTCGATCACCATTTTCCATGGCTCGGTTTGTGCCGTTTTTGTTGTGCCCCAGTTTGGTGCATCTGAACCAAAGAGCGGCATTCCGAATTGGTGGAAAGTACCATGCACTGAGCAAGAATTCATCGCAGGCATCCCAGTCTTTTCCGCCTCTTGGTGCCGTTCCCATTTTTGATGACCGCGGACTGTTCTGGACCCAACAAGTCGCATTTGACCCAAGGCGGTGTACATGGTCGCAATGGGATCGGGCTGGAGAGGATGCTGAAAAAGAACACGGGTTCTGACCAGAAGAAAACCTGGGATGGTCAGGGGTACCGCACGCCTGTGCGACAAACCCAAGATTTTCGGCATGGGCAGTGGAACAGATGATGGAGTGGTTTGAATTTTCAGTGCAGCATGGGATCGACCATCTTTGTCTACACCTTCAAGGGAACCGATGATGCACTTGAAGCTGGTTTGGCCACAAAGACTCACTTCGATGTTCTGGAAGGGAGATTAAAAAACTATAACTACTATAACAACTGATTTGTGTGGTTGGCATTTCAACCAGGTGATTCGGGCCAAGAGCCGGGCAATGTGTGTGATTCCCTCCCTCGAGTGGTCAATTTTCTTTTTTCCTGACAAAATGGTATCCCATCAAAGTCGAAGAAAAGAACATCATAGAACATCTGCAGTATGCATTATTAATATACAGTAATATACAGTATTCACTTTCAAACGCCTTCACTTTGCCCCTGTGGGCAGCTTGGAGATTTCTTCGTGGCGCGAGTGACAGGAGCGGTTGGGATGCCCGATGGCGTACAAGCCTTCCCCAAATTTGCTTGCAACGTGCATGTGGTCATTTGGTCCATGGCCGGTGGGACTTCGACAAGAAAGCAAACAGTTTATATAATCAATGACACCAGATTTAGTGAGGCCGCCCCAGATTCATGGCTGTCACGGTAGGTGTTGGGCGCGCCTGGCCAGGGGGGAAAAAGATGGGCCATGAATTGCCATGATATGCTTGCAATTTGCCATGCACGCATCCTGAATTCCGCGATGCACGGCAGACTGCAAGGCCGCCCTCTCGCGAGGATGGGATTGACGAAGACTCTGAGGTGGGATGTACCAGACTCTTTGATGGAGTTGCACCAACAGCCGAGAAAAAAAGTACTGGGTCACTTTGCAAAGATTCAAAGTGCAAGGATCAACTCAGAAGATTTGGAGCAAACTTAATACAACGAGCAGCTTGGCAGCGTGGATTAGAGACTCTTGGTCTTTGCAAAAGCGTAGGCTCAGAATATCTCAGATCCCCCTTGCTTGGTGTTTGTAAGACGCCTCATACTACTAGATCTATTGGGGCTGGGGTTCGTTTTACGCACAACCAGCTTGCGCCATCACTAATTATCTGGGAATATCTGGGAACCTTTTCACTCAACCATTTCAACCAATCCACCCAGTGAAGTGTTGGGAAAGTGTGTTTCACAAAACATTTTTCCGCCTTCGCTGCAAAGGCTGGAGTCCTGCTGAGACTTCCGCAACTTTCAGTGGCCACCGCGTCAGGTTTGTCTTGCCCCTAGCTCTATGCAGCATTCATTCTTGATAGTTCTCGATTCCAATATAGTTCTCGAATGTTCTCGATTTCAATGTCATTAGGCCCTTGACTTAAATTTGCGAGCTTGGGGAGGAGGGAAGTTTGTTACAATTGATGAGCTCGCTTTGGTGGCGCCATGCGATGCCATGTGCGATGCCATGTGATGCCATGCGATGCCATGCGATGCCATGCAATGCCAAGGTTTCAACGCTTTTACTTCCGAAAGTCCTTTGCCGAGTTCGAAGTGCGAGCACTGGCTATGGCGTCACTGACCCTGGCCAGCAAGTTGCTGGGACAGAACTGCGAAGATAAAAAGGAAATTGGCAGTTGCTTTCAATTACTGTAGGTGATCTTTAGGTGGTCCATGGTGGTCCGAATTAGTAAAAAACATGGATCAAAACATGTAAATCTTCGATGATCTCCGATCACTCACATGCTGCGAGAACTGAAGAAGGAAGAAGCGTAAGAAGCAACGCAATAGGGTCGATCTAAAATCTTCACTTACGTCTTTACTTGTCCTGTTTGGATCTGTTTGGCGCATCAATCCAGAAGTAACATTTAGACTCAAACCTTGCCAAGCTTGAATGCGAAAGACGTGCATTTGGCCTGGCCTTTCCCAAGAACCATTCAATGACCAGCTTTTACCGCGTGCGGGCTCAGGTTGCTCGAGCACCCTCGGAAAGTGGTGGACGTCAACAACTCAGTCTGAGTGAAAACGTTAGGCGCAGGGGTGAAGATGCACATGGCATTTTGGAATTTGTTTGGGTTCGACATGGCTCGACAGGGTTCGACATGTTCATACATTTTTCAATCATTTTCATACAGTTTCCGCGTTTGGAACAGCGAGGTGATCCAAGTCTTCTACAAGCTGAAGATGAGGGAAGCCCAGGTCAGAACACATTGTTTACCTTCAGATAACATCAGACAAGTCACTTCTCGAGAATTCCAGTTTCAATCCGTTTCATCGTTCTTGTTGAAGGAGCAAGATGGCTCTGCCAGCTTCGCTGGGATGCCAACACCTTTGCTTGACCCCACCAAGAAAGAGTTTGAACCCTCAGCATGGAAAAGAAGCACAAAGTCATTCCACGATGGACCTTGCCACATCTTGCC